CTGTGGAACATTCCAGGCTCCCATAGCTCATTCGTAACCTCAATTTTCTATTCACAAAACTCTGACTCTGAACTATAGACTGCCAGTTCACCTCATTCCCCCCCCGGCGCAAGTATCTCACACCTCCCCTTTAACTCGCTGACATGATGAGGTCAGCACTGAGGTACAAAGTTGAGACTTGGCAGACTTCGGTGGTAGCACTCCTCTTTGGAATCTTACAGTGACAATCGTGTGTCCTCAGTAAGTGCTAAAAAAATAAATAAAAAATAGAGTATCTGGGGAAATTGTTTTCACAGTATGCCAAAAACTAATTACAAGCAATAAATTAATTTCACGCTTGTGGTTTAGAATTAATTGCATCTTGTGACTTGGAGTGATAAGTCCGGACATACAGAGCTCCACATGTTTTGCTTTAAGGATGAACTTGATAATTATATAAGTATTCATAATGTGTCGTTTTGATTGAATGGTAAGGTAATATATATATTTTAATTATATGGTTCCCAGGTGCCTGCTAAGTTCAGAATAATATCCAGGCTTAAAGGGCTGATAGTATAGTGTGCTATTTTCTGATCTATGTTATGTTGTTTCCTCATCACAAACATGCCTGGAGTTGCGTTTTGTTTCATTCGCACATTAACTTCTTGGGTTCTTTTTCAAAGGTTATTACCGGTAAAGTGTATTTACCTTGTAACATGTGACAGCTTCTAAGCCATCTTCAGAACTGTCACCGGTGTTGGTGGTGATGTGTTGTATATCAGCTCATGTTACTTTCTGTAGGCGTTGCCAGGTCACTCGAACTGACCACACCTAACGTCGCCCGGTGTTCTCTGGAGGAGGGTGTCCCAGGTGTGTGAAAGGAGGAACGCTCCGTCATCACGGTTAATGCTGTCCATGCCTTGTTTCCTGATTTCGATGGCCTCCTTGATCCAACGTTTAAACTTGTTATTTTCCGATGCAATGACCCGTGCCCCGTCCCAATCTATAATGTGGTTATTTCTTTTACAGTGCTCTGATTTTTTGGCAGATTTTAGGTTTTCCTGCTCTGCTTTGTCTTTTTGTGTTCTCATGAGTCTCCCTGATATTTCCTTTTCACATTCCTTTTGTTGTTCACAAGAGAAGATGGCTTGCAGCGGGCAGCCGAAACATGTCAACAAGGTAAATACACTTTAGTGAAGTTTAAGAACAGAAGAAGAAGTAAGAAGACAAACTGAACATCGTTGGCTTCATTCACACATGTTTAACACACAAATCATTTGGATTATCTCAAAAAGACTCTCAAACTGTTCCACCTCATGATGTCATGTGGTAATACAGGAAGTGGTTCACTGTGCTTGAAAACTACAACTACCTGACATCACAAGGTTGAACAGAGCATTTTGAGCTTTGGAGATGTAGACAAACTAATAATGTGTGAATGAAAGAAAACGTACGATATGTTTATGATGAGGTAACAACATTATAGCCTATAGTCTTAAAGCTCACAAGAGTAAATTTGACCTTTTAACACAACGGTCCAATCACATTTGCTTATTCCAGTGACACATCTTAACCCAAGGAGCTCACTGATCATCTATTATTTTGATCAGAATAACATTTCTATCACCTCCAAAGTTTAGAGCTCATTGATTCTGCAGAAAGCTACAATGTTTTTCAGTCCCCTGTGATATTTTTTCCTTCTCTTTTTCCTCATAAGTAGCCATATTTCTGTCGATACACACGGACCATGTGTTTCCCAAACTGGCTAATCCACCTGTCAATCACACCCATCTGAACTCAGTGAGGTTCAACAGCAACCAAACTCACATCTTGGTAAAGTATTTGAGAAGTGTGTATTGTAGATCCCAGGCGAGCTCCCCGGGTTGAGCCATATGCAGGGGCAGATGCATCAGGCTGTGCAGCACATTATATAGAGACGCTGGTTGGGTTTGGACATATGGGACAGAATGTGTGAAAATGCAAAAGCCATGGAAGCGTGAGATTGAATGATGTGTCTTCAACAGTCATGCGTTTGTCAACACCATGTCCACATATGGCATATTTCACATAGTATGAGCCTATGAAGAAATGTATTGAAAGAAAATGTTGCATTCTTTGTGCATTTCTCATTTAAGATGAATTGCTTTATTAAAAATTAGAGGGTATTACACTTCTCTGGGGTATTAACTTAACATATTTAGATTACCATGTTTATTTGTTTTCTTATCTTTCTTTTACGGTTTGGAAAATTCTATATTTGCTGTCCTTTCTTCCTTTCCTCTCCACGCTAAGTCACCTCCCCTTCAGAGTGCTGTCACAACAAAACCCTTCTTCTTTATATTTATGGAAAATTGTCACGTGGAAGCATGGGTGACATAGGAGAGATTGCTAGATTACTTACACTTGCATAAATGACATATCAACTTGTTGCTGATGATAAAAATGTTATAACATGGTAAAACGTTTCCAAAAAGTTGATATAGGAAATATTTTAACGACACATTTGGGGTTGTTCTGATGATAATTTGGGATCTAGAAAATCTTAAATTGTTAAAAGGGGACCAGCGACATCTAGTGGACATGTGCACTACGACAATATATACTTGTGTGTGTGTATAGCAGAAAAAGTACATGCGTAAAAGTACTGTTTTTGTCAATTGTAGACTTATACAAACCTAAACATTTAAGTCAGAGTACTGTTACACTGTAAAACACATTACATATTTAGTAGGAGTGAAGAAAAATAAGGCAAGTGTGGTGGACTATCTGTTACTCAACATACAGATTGTTTTTTGTGTTTAGAATATTGATTCATATAAGTAAGGATGAACATGTAGGCCCATACGAAACCTTTAGTATGTATCTACAAGGAGAAAAAAATGACGCTTGAGAACGTGTGTGCAATGTTTTAACCATGAATATTTTTACCAATAGATTCCTTCCACCAATCCAGAGTGGCCCCCAAAATAGCAGAACACCCGAATGAGCCTATCTCCCCCATTATAAGTCTATGAGCGCTTGTCTAATGGAGTACGACATTATTTATTGGTAAACTATCTGCTACCATCTGCACTTGCGACGGCCTCCTCGCATTTTTAGGTTAACTGCTTATTTCCATTATTCCCAGTGACTTTTCCGGATGGTTCTAATTGGCCCCGCTGGGACTCGGTAAGGGCCCCCTTGTTCGCATCTCGTTCACATTCTTCGATAATTGTGACACCGCTGTAGCCGTAATCTGCGCGGACGATGTTGTTGTATTTTTAACGAGATTCGTGGCTTGCATCGCGCCAAAAGACCAACTTCACTCCGAGAATTTGCGATGCTCTGTGCTGTCATCTATTATAAACCTCAAACAATTCTCAAGACCTCTTTGTAAAGTCTGTAATTATATCGCTATAGTGCTAAAATTAGTTATACTGGAGTGATTTATGACAGTGAAAGAAAGCAACTTGGGTTTCAAACATATAACAAAGCAATTAGGCTAGATGAGCGTATAAAAACTGTTATAATCAGGGGCGGATCGTCCAATCGTGAGCTGATTTGTGGGGGAAAAAAGTCCAGGGCCGTTTTTTGGTCCCAGTCCGCCCCTGATTACAATACTATGGCTATTGCATTTTAACGTGTGTTGGTATAATGCCCATATAAACATGTAAACATACTGGTAAACCTGGTTGCTTAGTCATTAACAATTAACAATAATAATCTTAAAAGTGCACTATGTAGCTTTCCTGGTGGAGTATCTCCCATTGCATTGCCTGGAAATTTCCACAGCATGGCATTCAATTTGTTTACCTTGCGTTTATGTCTTCAAACATGTTATTTTCTTTTTTACAAAGCACTCTGGTTGTGTCACCTGCTCTTCTCCAGTCCATGGAAATATACAATTTTAATGCATTATGAAATACTGTGGAACCTTCAGGGGCAGCTATTATGTGCATAACTTTTGTGCATCCCCTACGCAAAAGTTATGCAGTTTAAATAAAAATGCTTTTACTTTATCATTCGTTTTTTAAGTAACTGTTCATATGATTTACATTTTAAAATACACAAACTTGACCGATCTGTGTTCCCATGTTACAAAAAACTGGACATGATGATAAAGTTGTTAATATACACTACCAGTCAAAAGTTTTAGAACACCACACTTTTTCCAGTTTTTTACTGTTTACTGTTGACCAAAACATATGCTTAACTTTTGATTCATGAAAGTGTCCACCTTTGGCAGATATAACAGCTGAACACACACGTAGCTTGTTCTTTTTACAATAGAAATCAAATATTCTTCAGAAAGTTCTTCCCAAGTCTGTTAGAAGTTCTCATAAATGTGTGGCACTTGTAGGTTGCTCGGCTTTCACTCTTCTGTCCAGTTCACCCCAAACCAGCTCGATGGGGTTTAAGTCTGGAGACTGTGCTAGACACTTTTTAACGTCTGGCTGTTCAGTTCTTACCTTTGCACCATTTCAAACTATTCATTGGACTTGCATGACTTGAACTGCAGTAAATCACTGGAAAAATGTGGGTGTTTTAAAACTTTTGACTGGTAGTGTTTTGGTTCTCAGGATGTTGAAATCCAGTTGGTTTAACGCTTAAGGGACTGTCTCTGGTCTGAACCCTTTACTACTTAAACCCCAGCACTTGCAGTCAATCATTTATCAGTGCTGGTGCAGCCTCTGCAGCTCAGTGAGTGAATTCTGGAGGTTCTGAGCTTTCACATGAGTTATAAAATCCATATACTGAGAATAAGAAAAGCGTGTGTACAGGTTAAGGCACTGGCAACCAATGATCATGCGATTCTGGTACCTTTAAAACATAACCTGCAATTTAATTTACTTTTATTTTTTTTTTTCACTACTTTAAGAGGTTGATTCCTGGGAACAAAACTTTCTTTGTCATTGTTCAAACAGCCGCCTGCCCCTCCCTGTAGATCATTCACCACACTGTGCCACACTAATACAGGATTATACGTTGCCCTATCTGTTCTATCTTGTTCCAAAGTACAGGCAAAAGATCACGCGAAACTGTTACGCTTACAAGCCAAATATTTATAAAAGCAATTCTGTAACACTGAATCCAAGACATAATCTCTAGTACATCAAGTTACAGCTCATATACAAAAAAATCCAACAACATTCTATATTAATTTATTTGCAAAAAAAAAAAAACTTCTCTCATTAGTCATTTGTGTAAACGCATAAAATAGCACTCATAATGTAGTTTGATTTGAACAGGCTGCGTTCACGTGAAATCACAGAGGACAGGTCAGAATTCTATCGAAGAATTTACTGTTTCAGATTGCAGATTTGTTGATTGGTTTACGGTGAAAATCTGTTAGAACCAAAAACTGGCAAGACCCCTGTGAGTAAAAATAAACAAAAGTTAAGTCATTTTTCACAACGGCCTCGGAAAAAGGTGCCATTTTTCACCCTCAAATCCATTATTGTTGCTGGTTGAAAGGACTTTAAGCCATGAGATTAATATTGCAGGTTTGTGGAGCTAAAAATAATGAGATGGTTCAACTTGGATATTGTCCGATTTCTTTCAAAAACAGCAAATCTCCCATAGAATTACACAGACCCTGACCCATTATCTGAAATTATGACATCAAATTCTACAACGTGAATGCAGCCTATTGATGCTTTGCAGTGACATCACGCTGGGGTGTTCAACGTGCGTTTCTATTGCCAAAAAGTTCAGCAGTTTCCATGACAGCACATTTGCAAACACAGACAAAAAAGTTTTAAGATTGGCTGAAAACTCAAGAAGAAACGCAAAATGGATTGGAAGCAGTTTCAGGAGACTGTGATCATTACGAGAACAAAAAAACAAAACACAAAAGGTGAACATGACACTGTTGGCTACTGCTGACTAACTAATGACAGCAGTGCTTTCAGTAAACTTCACACCCCTTCAGTATTCCCTATTAATGACATCAGCTGCAAAGTATCAATCTAAAACTGGGCAGCGGCAGAGTGGTTAACACCCCCTCCCTCCTCTGTTCACGTCCTTGTGCTGACTTTAACATTGCTACTGCAGGAATGTTGCAACGCTGTTGGGTGACAAGGCCGCGACTACGCCCTGTGAAGAATGTGTGTACAGATAAACAAGGCTAGATCCCAGCGCTGCAAGTTTCAACAATACTACAACAAAGAAATGTGGATGAAATAACATATTATGGTACAAACAACATCATGGTGGTGTTAATCTTATTCCCAGCGTATTAAACCCAACTATACAAAATACATTCTGATAGGCCTGCACAATAAGCAGTCTTGTAGCTTTTCAAGTGATCTGACCATTTCTAAGCACATATAAAAGTAAAAAGTAGTAGTTCAAACTGCGCATCTTTTCTGGTGGGTGCTCCGCTGCCTGTTTGCCTCCATGGAGACATTATTGCTTGGCCTGGGATGTTCCATGGTATAACATTACACATAAATTTATTCATTACAGGTGTTTCTGTTGCTCAAAAATACAGTAATTCCTTCTGTGAATAGATGCGACTCTCCACAGATCTGAATTGTAATGTAGCTTAGTGCTGTTACCTGCTTGTGTCTCGGTTTCTCTTTAATCTATCCTGTGGAACATTCTAGACAAAGCAATAACATTTCCATGGAGACATCAGGTAGTGAACCCTCCACTAGAAATGTTACACAGTGCACCTTTAAAATGGAGGGAAAGCACTGTTTAAACGGTGCAGTTGAATTGTCTGCTTGTGTTTTGACCCGTTTTATGGAAAATCTTGATTTTTATGGAGCCTATCCACATGAAAATTGGCACACAGATTGTTGTCTCAGCAGCTGGCATAAATAACTATGGTTAAATAATTTGGATTCACTAGAGCATCAAAAAGTATTGTTGGGGCACGATTGTAGACAGAAGGCATAATATTTTGAATTTCACAGATAGTTTGTGGATTTGAAAGTCTTGGTCAACTAAAGAAATGCCCAGTGCAACAACTAACTAATTAAAAGAGTGTGTGACAATGACAAAAGCTTTCCAAATTATTAGGCTATCACGCCAAAAACTACATATACACCATATATACAGATAACTACGAGTAAACCACAGCTTTATAAGTGAAAAGTGAAAATTGTCCATTCATTCCCAAAACGCACTTCATACATTCTCCTTTTGTAGTGATAAAAAAGCGGCTGAAAAAGTAAAGCAAAGCACCACTAGTAGACTCAACAACATAATTATTCAATATGTTTTAACTGACTTTTTGAGATTTTGTTTTTTTCAAATGTCCCTCATCCATAGTTTAGAATTGTCAGTTTCTCTTTCAACTCTTATAAATTTTATCAAATTATGAAAGCAACCAAAACAAATGTCCTTAAAAAAAATAAACATATAATCTACAACCTGCCTTTAAGAACCCAAAATCTTAAAATTGAGTATTTTTGCAATTGTTAAAATGATTTCAATGTTAAACAGCCCAAATCCATACACATACACACACACACACACATAGATTACCGCAGCTGTTATCAGTAGAAAATCCATTCTTTAAGAGCATCCATCGGACAAACTTGAAGAAAAAAAAAACTCCTCTTGCATTTTTTCTCAAAGTTAATTTCTCCTCTCGTGTTCTACATTACAAAACATTCAGATTGTCCCCAGCATCTTGGCGTCTTCATCTCTTGGAGCACACATCTGCCAGTCTTCTGAACTTTGGCCCGAGCGTGTCCAAGAATTCCAGGGTCTCCTCGTCAAAGTTGCTACAGCAACCCACCGAGCCAGCTGCTGAGCCCACCCCCTCGAAACCGTACGCATGGACGATATCGTCGGCATAGCGACCCTCGTCCTCAGCTCCCATGTAGTACAACTTCTGCAAGACGGAGAAAAAAAGGACACAATGTTTATAAAGTAGAGATATGATTAAGGAGCAAGTGTGACGGGCTCCTGGTTATTACACAGCACTGACTGAGAGATATTATTTCTAGATTTTGAGAAATATTAGGTACAAGGTGAGATTATATTGCACTGGAGAATAGATATCAATGTTATTAAACTATAAAAGGACCTGTACCATGTATTTTAGCAAAATTAGTCGTGGCCCCAGAACATATACACTGTATAAGCAGAGCTTGAGAATATGTTTATTCTCTAATAAACAGGAAGTGCACATAAGCATTCTAGTTGTTAACTTTGCAAAACTCTGCACTGGTCTCTGAAGGTTGTGAAAAGCACTTATAAACTCATTGTGGTGAATAATTAAGATGATCGGAATGCATAAAGTAAGTGAGGAATAACTTTGGACCACTGCAAACTGTTTTTCAAGTTTAATATTATAACCTTATCGTGCTGTTCTTATGAATAATACATTCTCCATGCTAAAGCTTTACCTGGTCTAAGTAGCGTCCGTTAGTCTGCCAGGTGTGGAGCAGGGATGCGTCCTGGGTAAACCTGTTGTCAAGCCTGTCAAAGCCGCTGGTTAGGAGATGCCCGTCCCCGTACTGCATGCCATACTGCTCGTCGTAGTTAGTGAAGTACTGCGTATCTGTGGTGACCCCGTTGCCCTTGTATATGCCGTTCTCCTGCATGGAACTGGTGCTCTTGTTGCCGATCCAGCCGGTGTTTAAGTCTTTGACCGAGCCTTTGGTTGCTGGGTCGACTATGATTGTGGGACCAGTGAGGAGGCTGGAGTCCTGTGGAAGAAAACAAAATGCCAATACTTACTTCAGGCATTAAATAAATATGAATGTTGTGTTATGGACTAGGAAACATTTAATCATGATTTTTTTCTGCTTAAAAAGTAGGATTCTGTAGAGTGCCCATTGTAAACTACTCCAGGAGCATTAACATTTGAGAGAGAGCTTTCATATATTTCAAAATATGTTAGTAGAGGTCAAGAGTTTTTTTTATAAAAATATGCAATACTTTGTTCATTGCAGAGAACATTCTATTATTAATAAATATAGGCTTTGATATTTGATAATTGCACCAACTCAAACTGCGATTTCATTATACTGCCTCACCACTTCTTCTCCGGGAGCTTCAGTGTTGGATTTGAGCAGAACTCCGCCAGTGTCCGTCATGTCGTCCATCGGCAACTTCTGATGTGAGGTCACACACAGGAAGATCAAGAGCAAGACTGGGGATACAGACACTAAATTTAGTCACAAGTTTTTACTTTTGTTAAATAGAGCCTCTAAAATATATTTGAGAATACCAAGTAAACAATTGTTATTAATGATTTAATTTCATAATGACAGAAATATATCAAACTGGCAAATCTAATGCAGCTCATGACTAGGGACAGTTTATAGCAATTCCAGTGTTGGCATTTTAAACAAGTTCTTGGATTTATTTTTAAGTCATCTAGTCAGAATTTTAACATACACTTGGCCAAAAATAGTATGTGGCACTCACGGAGCAGGAGGAGCAGGAGCAGAGGCAGCAGCAGGGCCAGCCAGCCCATGGGCCCCATGACGATGGAGGACTTGGTGGCCGGGCATACTCCATTCACACACCTGCAGATCCTCACCTTCACCGTCTGGACTTTACCCGAGCCTTGTAAGTCAGTCACCAGAACATCCACCTCATGGAGCCCTGTGTGGAGCTCCTTCACCTGCTGGAGTATGGCTGCAGTGTCTGAGAAGAGAGAGAAAAACACTGACTAACTCAACACTGCTGCAGTGCAAGATCTCATTATATTTGTTTACCTCAAAGTGACAGCATCAAAAACACTAAATAAACAGTAGCAGCAGTATGGATATACTACTGTTGACTATAGTAGATCTAATACTCATATATAATAACATCAGACTTTCAACTAAGAGGAAGAAAACTGTGTTAAATGGCTGATTCTAAGTCTGTGTTGTCTCTATTCATTTGTTTTAAGTAAGACAAAATAAAATAAAATTGTGAAAAAAATTGTGATTGACCAACATATACAAAAAATTTGATTCATTTTTTGTCATCTTGCCCAGCCCTGCTAAGCAGATATTCTTTTTCTTTGGAAAATGTTGAAACAGGAAGTTTATGTCAAGGTTGGTTTTTAAATAACTACATGACTAGTAATGCTAATAACAGTAGAACTCATTTACATTTTTGCATTTACAGGCTCCTGTAGGCTATTTATTTTTAGTTGTATTACTAATTACAAAGGCTATAGTTCTTTAGTCATTCAGTTGATTAATTGGTCAGAGTCTTAGTTGGCCAAACCTTATGATTTGACTAATTATTATGTTAAGGTAATAAGGATTTATTTCAATTATGAAGATACTTACTAGCACTTATGTAGTAGTTTTTGTGTGAGACCCTAATAACTTTACTTTGCTTTCCATTCCATTTAGTCAATTAATTGATGCCCTACCAATTACAAATGGATTATAAATATAAATAAAAATTGTACTGTTACTGCCTCTTACCATTGAGTTTGTTCACGGTCCACTTGCCATCGTCCTCGGGCAGAGAGAACACAAACGGCTCTGCGAATGGGGCCTTATCCCCGTCCTCTGCCACCAGCATCACAGAGCCCAGCTCCCCGTCCTTCTCACACAGCACCAGCTCTCCTGTGGGAAGCTTTGGGATGTTGTCATTCTCATCCTCCACCATGATAACCACTGTGCCCATGCCCGACTTGGAAGCTGAAGTAATACAGAGAAGTATAGGCTATAGTTATTAAATTACATTTTAATGTGTGTATTGTGTTACATTTCACTTGCTTACTGCTATCTGTACCCCAGTGTATAGTCTGAATATTTCACATTAAGATTTATATATTTTGTAATATAATAACATATAAAAAATTTGTATTTTTAAGAGTGAGTATTTTTTTTCCATTTATTTGAGCAAACTGTGTCTAAGGCAGTACAAATATAAATCAGCCACGTGCTGCCTGCATCTAAATAAAAAGCGGTTTATTGTACCAAGTATCGGAAAGTGTGGATTAGCAACCTAGTTGTTGTCAGCTTTTAAAACGCCTTTAAAAATATATCACAAAAATGAATTATTGTAAAAAAAAAAAAAAAAAAAAAAAAACCTAAATATACTACTGTAACATAAGGAACACCCATATATGGTCATGTCTACCGTTTGCATCCCTTATTGTTAACAACAGGGATGGGCACAGAGCCCAGTTTGTGCTCTGCCAAATCAGAACATCTGAACGGGCACAAATGCTCACACCTTAGACTGGTGAGCTCATCCGTGACACACAAACCAGGGCGAGGCCACAGACAGACACACACACACACACACACACACACATACCAACAGGGTGGAGCTGTGCCACAACAATAACGCAGGACTTAACATACACTTGTGTCATCTACCGTCATACTTTTGTTTGGCAGATCTCCATTACCACGAGCATATCCGATACAAACACATTCTGATTGAATACCTCCAGTGCTTAAAAATACAGTGACTCATAAATAAGAAAAACACCTGAAAGTGTTCTGTGAGAGTAAATGGAGATTTCTGTTGAAAGAGACAAGTTTGGACAAAATGCTTGTTAGTTCAAATGTGAGCACGCCCAACCAGTTAGAACTCCTGCCAGCTATGTATTCAGATAAATGCATAATATTGAGAGAAATATAGAACTGTGTCCCTAAGGTGGAATTACAGTGAGCAGTGTTAAAGGCGCTGGATCTAAGTGAAAAACAGAATCTATTCATTTTAAATGATTTCAAGTGGTCCATGGTTATACTTCAGTTACCTTGTGCATTCAGAGCATCAAAATTACTAACCACAATGAGTTTATAAGAAAGGAAGTGTGAAGTGTGGGTGGAAAGGAAATCCGTGGAAAGGGGAGTCCCTGCTTAGCCTGCTGCCTCCATGACCCGGCTCAGCAGAAAAAAATGGATGGAGTTTATAAGAACTTTTTCACAACTTTTCACAACTTTTTTGCTGCCACGACAATTTGTATGCAACCATGCATTTCCTGATCCCCAGACAATAAAACACTTGATAATATATGTGCAGAACATGCACGTGGAACTTTGGCTCCAAGTGCTTCTTATACAATACATAATATAATAATGTAAAAGGTGCAAGACTAAAATAGAATACAAGACCTATAAAACAACAAAGTTCCAGTAACAGACAACCATTCACAATGTAACTCCTTTTTATAATTGCCAGTGGTGAAAGAATGTTATAGTACAGAAACCACCATTGCTATTTGTCATTCTTGTAGTCATCAAAACTTCAAGAAGATTTTATTTTTATCATGACTAATAATAATAATACCATACCATAAAGTAATACAATTTTGATGAAAAGGTAAAATCTTTGACCAAAACGTGTAGAAAGCTTTATATGGTCTTATTTTGCTTTCTAATTAACCTTAATCTACTTTCAGAATTTAATCCACAACCTTAATGCCAAGAGCAAGTACTGCTAACCACTCAGCCATACAACTATCCTCAGACTGGACAATAAGGGTGTGTTTACATTTGTACATTCACCACATTAAAATTATGAATGATCAAGAACCAAGCCCAAAATTAAACCTGAAATAGATCAGAACTAAACCAGGACTAGAGCAGGACCAAAACATGTCCATATCAGAACTAAAATGGGCTCAAATTAGGACTAAATCATTTTAAAAGCACCCCTACTTATTATTTCTATCATATTGTCATATATAATAGTGTACTTACAACCATCCACAGCCCTCACGCTGATGTTGTAGAGACCATTTTGCACAAAACTGGACTCTCTGTCGATCGTGTTGGCCACCTTCAGCTCCCCCGTGACCCGATCCATATTTATCCACGAAGCTGGGTCTGTAACTTTGTAATACCTGAGAACAAGACAGGGAGACGCTTAGGAAATACATGATGCAAGTCTGCCCTCTAATGGTTTAAGTGCATATGGCAGGTTAGACTACTTAAAGGTAGATATATGTCTTACAGTATAAGTCTTACACTATAATGTAGAATATTACAGCCAAAGAAACTAAATTTCCATGGAGACAATCATACCCTTCAGACCAAATAAGAGTCAGTTTTGTTGAGACGCAAGTACAGTAAGGATGCAGGTATTTCAGTGCAATTAACACAACCAAAATAATAATAAGAATTAAAAAAAAAACAAGCTTATGCATGCATTTATGTTGTTTATTTTTTGGCTTGCATAATGGATAAATCCTTATTTTTTGGTGAAGTTTATAATTTGACTTCCATGTTGGTCATAAGCAGCAGATATTAATTTTGTAACGGTTACTTAGCAACCATAATGTAAAAAAGGGTAAAAAAATGACATGTTAGTTATGACGTTTTAACAACCCATTGCTACCTGTATTTTTGTACTTTTCTTCTCACCTTTTTCCCCCTAAACTCCCACCCAACCCATGTAAACTCTGATGACTATAATTCACCGCAGGTACTATCCCACTAAACCAGCTAATAATAACATTAAAAACCTGCCACATGCATTTTAAACAACATTTTGCAAGTACAATTTGATCTACGTAATGTAACAAAGGAATAGTTACAAGATGCCAGCGCTGCTTTTGGTCTCGGGGTCCAGGGCGGTGTAGGTTCCTATGACAGTGCCGTTGGGGGTGTTTTCTTTGACTGTCAGGTATTTGATGGGAGGGATGAACTCGGGGCCCTCGTCCACATCAGTAACTGCGATGTTCACTGCTGCGGTCTGCCACTGGGCAGTAGTTCCCTTCAGGTTAGCCTTGTTCTGAGCCATGACTTCAATCGTCACTGTTGGAGTTTTCTCAAAATCCAATGGCTGAAAAACAAAAAATAAATGAATGAATACATAAATAATTATTGTGTTTATCCATGGGTTTCATGGAGTAATGGAAAACCGTCAGTTTGTAATTTACTTTGAATGACTTTAGGAGCTGTATAATTTTTTTTCATGTAATAAAAATAAAATGTGTCTTGCCCCAAACAGGAGTTGTTAGCATTACTATTGGAGCAAATCTTCTCTCAGCATCTAAAAGTTGTGAAAAGCACCTATAAACTAATCACGGTGAATAATTAGGATGCTAGGAACACGTACATTTGAACCACTCCAACAGTACAAAATGAACTAGTTGTAAAATCAGGTAAAGTGCCTTTAATAGTCGAAAGTACTCAAAATTGAATCTACAAGCAAGATGCTAAAATCCATGAATACTATTTAACTGAGTAGATAGTTACTATTACCTTAATGACATACAGGAGTCCCTCATTCGTTTTAGGGTCAGCGTCAATTCTGAAATTTCCATTTTCATTTCCTTTAGTGATGATAAATTTAGAAAACCAGTTATCAGTGTTGATCAAATCTTTGTCATCGACTGGAATGCGGAGAATGAGTTTTTCCGCTTCATTTTCCTGAATTGTTGCTGTAAACTAAAATAGAACAAAATTCATGATAAAGACATGTTTAATTTTAAGCAAGAAAAGGCTGATGTTTTCTATTGCTACTTACAGATGGTTGTTTGAAGGTTGGAGGGTTGTCATTGATGTCGGATAACATGATGGTTGCAGTACCAGTCGTGGCCAGACCGTTGGCGGCTCCTTTCATGTCTTTGATTTGAATTGTCACCAAGTGCTTGTCTTTAGTCTAAAGTAGACAATACAATTACAAAAATAATATTTGTGCATTATAAGATCAAATTTTATCAATTTTATATATTTAAACATTTTGGAGAAGTGAAATTTTAACAGTTTGACTTTTCTCTTAGGTGCGGCCACAGTGAACAAGATGCAAGAAGGTTTTATTATTATTATTATTATTATTATTATTATTAGTAGTAGTAGTAGTAGTAGTAGTAGTAGTAGCAGTAGTAGTAGCAGTAGCAGTAGCAGTAGTAGTAGTAGTAGCAGTAGCAGTAGCAATAGTAGTAATATTTACTTTAAACATTAAATGTCTAACTTGTCACTTTCCTGCAGAATGGGTAAAGCTTGTATACTGTTCATCCTGTTTGTATATTTTGATATTATTTGAACTGACTCTCTATATTATTAAATTAAACTCATAGAAGTCAAGTACAAGCAAGTAATTAGTGTAGGTGGTATTTTACGTGTGTGGTGAAGATGTAAATGTATTTTAGTTTCCTTTATATAATTGTAAATAAATGTGGATTGACTCACCTCCCTGTCCAGTGCAGTGGACACAGTGGAGATGACCCCAGTGAGAGGGTCAATGGTGAACAGGTCAGTGCTGGACAGCAGACTGTACCGGATGGCTACATGGTCCGATCCTGCCAGATCTCTGTCTGTGGCATTGACTTTACCAACCACAGTGCCTGCAAATAGACAAAACAATTAGCAGTGGAAGCAGATGGAGCCAATAATAGGTATATGACAATATGAAAATCTCACAAAGCAGTTTTAATGCAATATAAAAAATATAAAATGTGAAAGAATTGTAAAAATGCAACCTTTTCCTTTAAAAATGCCATAACAAGCCACTGGTCACTGGTCTATGCTGTCTCTCTGCTTTTTGAGCTGTTGCTGCTACAGAACTATACATTTACGCAAAGAAGCTTATAATTCATTATATTGTGGCAGCTCATGATATTTTTATGAGACTTATTTACAAAACGGGTTCGTAGTCAAGTGGTGGTAGACAATAAAACACATTTTAAAAGATGTTTGGAGCCCTGGCCTAGTGGTTGAGGAACCCCTGAGCTACGTAATAACAGTACATTTGTATAGCTCACCTCTGCTGCACAGTTCAGGGACAGAGAAACCCATAGATCCAGAAAACTGCGGGGCATTGTCATTCACGTCGTCCACGAAGACGTAGATGTCCAACGGATCATCTGTTGCGACTTGGGTGAGTTTGTTGTATACATTGACTATCATCTTAAAAATACATGAGGGAAAAAAGTTATGTTACAGCTTGTTTTTAAGATTATTTTATTTATTAAAATTACAATTCTAATGTTAATTTTTGACTTAGGTACTACTAACTGTAAACTGACAATATATATGACATTACCAATATTTTTAAATCTGGGGGCAAAGTCAACAAAAAATAGAAGTAAAAGTAAGTGGTCTTTATATATAACAATCAAAATATATAGAGAATAGTATTAGTGTTAGTAGTAGGAGTAGCAGGAGAAGTAGTAGTAGTATAGTTCCTTATTGTATTGCATTGTATTGTTGTTTGTTGTAACTGTGTTAAACTGCTGCATCTTGGCCAGGACTTTTTATCTCAATGGGATTATTTTCCTGGTTAAATTTTGAGAGTACTTTCACTTCACAATAATACTTTTGCAGTCGGTCTCTTTTACTTGCATACTTCTACCTCTAGTAATTGCAGTGGTGGGCAATTAATAGTTCACACATAGGAAAACCAGTGCAGTTTTACTCTTTACACATACGTGAAATGATGGGAACTCCTCGCGGTCCACCGGCTTAGTGACAGACAGCATTCCATTTTCTTTAAAACTGAAGACTCCCACGGGATGCTCATTGTACCCAGGGCCGGATAGGGTATAGTACACGGAATACTTCGCTTCTGAATCGGACACAATCTAACAAGACACAGAATAACAAAAATATGATCAAATTTAAATGATGACTTGTCTTAAGTAAACATCCTCTGTCCTTTTATGGCTTTGTTGTGCGTTAGGTTTCAAGTAAGTGGATTTGAAGAGATTTAAATACCAGTTAAGACATGTACACCTTTGGAGCAATAAATCAAAGAAGCACGTACTAGTAAATGTAGTAAATACCACGTGCTGTAGAAAAAATGTGTGAAAAGTACAAAAAAATTGTAACAAAACAAGTAAAAAATAGTGAAATGTACTGAGATTTGATATTGCCAGGCCCTAAGCTCAACGTACCCTTTCGATTTCTTTTGGGAAGTGTCCATTATCATTCTCAATTATGTTGAAAGGAGGAGGGCTCCAGCGCCTTTTGGACCGTCTCAGGAGATTTTCCTGTTAACCCAGAAACAGGTTAGTGTGAAAATGGCATCTGTATTACCAAAGTACAAGGCTGCGTTCGCACTTTGCACATCAAAATTATGATTAAATAGCTGTTGGTTTTAGTTAGATTAGTTTATTTCACAGGTATATATGGATAATATTCAACAGTCACACTTCACATGCATACAGACTGGAAAAGATGTAGGTTGAAGGTAGATCTACCCATGAGTGTAAAACCATTCAAAAGCTAAAGTAAACTGTGCTGTAAGTAGTAAAGGGAAGAATGCTTTGAACATATATTTGATTACAGAAGAGTGAATACCTGTTTTAAAGTGTATTTTGTAATATATTTTGACACATGGTCTAATCAGAGTACTGTATTCTGAATACTTAGAATACTTTTAAATCAAGTTGCATTAAAATTATACTGTAAAGATGCAACATTGCTTCATATAGGTTTCAATGTTTTTACAGCATCTCCTATCACTAATCGGAGAAGTAAAAATCACACTTTTACTCACCACAAGAGCAGTGATTATGTGCAGTTTGAAGCCTAAACTACACGATCAAATACCGTAACGTATTCCTTTGTTTTTTAGAAAAGTAACTGTATTCTGTTAATCAAAAGTATAGGCTCATCAGAATACGTATTCTCTGTACATTACTTCCCAAAACTGACACTAAGAGATGGACCAGGACTACCAGAAGTGAAGCTGAACTAAACCAGGTTTACATGAGGACTAAACCAGGATCAAACCAGGACAAACGTAAAAGCAGCCAAAGTTTTTATCTTACATCGCGTTCTGGTTTCTGGTGTAAGAAAACTTTCATCTCGATTTCGACTCCAGCGTCGTCCTGAGCCACCACAGAAAATTTCCTCGCGCCGGGTCTCACGTATACAGTCGTAACAGTCACTACTTCATTATTTTCAATTATGAAATCTGGATCACTGCAACTGAGCTGGAGAGAGTTGATGTCGCAGTCTACAACTTCAACTGGAAAAGAAATAGCCGGTAGAAGCAGAATTAGGCATGTATCGCAGCTAGTGATCGCTTACTCACGGGAATATAGAGAAATGCAGCTGAATACAGTAGTTTAAAATAGTACTTTACCTGTTGTTACCTTTGTTCCTTTAGGTAATTTATATGGAACGTTTAAATGCAGCGTTGGGGGGATATAACATGCTTGAACACATGATAAGACCTTGAAAAGTAGAAAGAAAAACTGCTCTTAAAACTATTCACCTACGCGTCAACTGAATCCATGAAAGACACAAGCGGTGCCTATACTCACCACAAACAGGCAGATGTGTAAGAATACTCCCTTCGCCATTTTAAAAGCTAACTTGGTGGAGTTTGTTCCGGATACAAAGAGCACCCTTCGTCTCTTTGCTGTGGCTCGCTTTGGGGATCAGCGGAGCGGGCGTACGGTCGACTTTTACGCACGGAAAAAACAGGTAGTTCCAATCGTCCTTCGCTCAGTAAACACGTTGCAAGTAGAGAGGACAATCGTATCTGTCAGTACAAGCAGAGAGTCGGTACGCACCTGCCCTTGCCCCACCCAGAGAGAGAGTACCTCCTTGTGGGAAGCAACAGCCGCTGTCTACTGCTCTGGAGCGAGGAGAGGTCCCGTACTGAACTGAGCCAACCACTCAAGTCTGAAGGTGCAGTGCTCATAGCCACCAGCAGGAGGAAACATTCTCCAGTGCTTATATTGTAAATGCAGAAGTGATTGAGTGAAAAAAAAGCGTAAAATCTGCACCTTGTGACGTGAGAAAAGTGGTGTTTGCGAAGCCATGTCCTCCTGGGACCCAAAGAGAAAAAAGTGTATTGCAATATATACATATTTTTGGTGATTTTCTATCTATTTGGAGGTAAAAGAAGACCTTAGCATTTACATTTTGTTCATTTTATTTTTATTCATAATTTTTCTGTAATGGACGCCGTGGACATTTTGGTGTTAAATCCATGAGAAGTTAACAACCGAACAAAAACAACTTTTTTGATGACAAACATCTCTGACAACACAGTCTACAGTTACCTCAAAAAGTTTTTTAACCCCCTTTTAATGTATTTTTTTTTTAATCATAGTGCATCCACAAACTAACTTCTCTTGAGTTATTATTGTTTTAATCCTAGACATGATAATTCCCTATAATCCCCCAGCCCTATTTAGGCAGAAGGACCTAGTCCGCCCATTAAGAGTCTATCTCAAAACACTTAAAAGATAGATTGGTTAACTCAGTGTCCACTACAAAGGACATAAATCAATGGGTCTCAGGAGGATATGGTTAACCCATGTGTTTTAAAGGGATGTGATGTAAAAGTGAGTTTGTGAAAATGAGTTTGGCTAGGGCTCAAAGTTTTGTAAATAAAAACATTGCTTTAATACGTATAATGCCATACTGTGGAACCTTGTAATCAGCTTATAAATATCCATGGAGACAAGCAAGTGGTGAACCCTCCACCAGATAAGTTACAAACTGCCCCTTTAATGTTAGAATAAGCCTATATAAATCATTATAAACCATTTAATTATTTGATTGCTTCCTGTTAAATAATGGTCAAGTAGATCACATGGTTTGATTTAGATTTTTTTTTAACTATTTAATGAGCATAAATATAAAGTAATATTTCTTATCCCACATTGCCTAACTTTGCAAGGGAATAATGAAGTTTGTCACAAAAATATGTGCACGTGTGACATGTGCACCTTTTAAAAAATGTCACATGTCTGTTTTTGCTTTGGGACCACAACCTGTTTTCCCCTAACTGCTTACGTTTCGATAATATCCACTGTGTGAAATCCTCTCCGCCTATGTATGTTTAGCATGTGGTTCACCCTATCTCTTCTGTCTCCTCTTCTATCTCATGTTGATTTCTGAAGCTTATGACAGACACAGCCTGCTATCTCTGCTCCTCCACAAACACCACAAGAATGTAGAGCACCAGACCAGACCATTTCTCTGGAAAAGACTCAAAACTCCTCAAACTCATCAGGACAAATCCAGTCACTACTTCAATGCATTTCCATGAGTTCAATGGCCTAAAGTGCAAATTGCATGTCTTTATATTTTTCTAATTTCAGCTGGGGTTGGCTGGAAACCCATGGTAAATATTTATAATAGTTTTACAACAGTCAAGTGGCAATTTGTAGAGAAAATGTTGTGAAGAAAAATGCAAAAGTACAGGAATAGCAATGAGCTCTAACATGTCATTAACACCGAAATTCCATCCAAAACGCTAAGACAATTCAGTGTTTTTCTGAGTTTAAATTTGAATTTAACAGAATAAATGTATTGTTATTTATTTTGATTAGTTTTACCATAACTACTTTGTGATTTTGTTTGGCTCACTAGGTAACAGTTATGGAATTACCTACTGTCAATGTCCAACCAGGTAGTAAAATGAGAAACTTCAACAAAATTTAAAAACTAGAAAAACTAGGCAGGATTTTTTACTTAAATTCTTAAATAAAATGATGTTATCTTCAGTGAAATGTATAATCTAGCCTGTCATGTGCACTTAAACCTTTGGAGAATGGAGACATATTGTGAAGTTGTTTCTGCAGGGGTCATAACAGGAAAGGTGAAGAAAATGACAGGAAGAGCATGCACATGGGAGTCATAGTGGGCAGGACCAAGATGATTAAGATAGGGAGGGTTGAGAAGAAACAGACAGAAAGAGACTCAGCAGAATGACCTCTTGTGACACTCCTATGAACAAAGCAAAAATACTAATTAGCATTTACTAGTTTAGTTGAAGCTGCATTATGCACGTTTTCTAGTGATGGGTTTGGTTCCTGATTGTCTGGAAAGACGTTATTGCTTTGCCAGCCTTGCCAATCATTTTCCACAGTATGGCATTAAACTTACCAGTAGAGACACGCTGGTGATGTGATCGAAATAAGTTACAGGCAAGATCTGTGGAGGAGAGTCAGTTGTCAGCAAAATGTGTTTTCTTCAAGGTACTTTTCTTTTCAGTAATCACAACCTTTAACCAATGTTTGAAAAATGTGTTAAATAAATTGGGAAAAATTATGTGAAACTCCCTTTGAAATAATAATTTATAATAATATCAGGGGAAAAAATTTCAAAAAATGAAAATGCAATGTACGTCAGTGGTATTTGGGTATTAAAAGTAGTATAAAGTAGCCTATAGTTGTCATAGTAGTTCGTATAGTAGTAGAATTACTGACAATATAAGGTATCTGTCATTCATACTTGCAGTATTATCAGCAGTAGTTAGATGACCTTTGAGCAGAAAGGTTTTGTGATACTGTAATAGTTAGTGCAGTAGTAGTGGTAGCAGTGATAGTAGTTGTAGACTTAGATCTAAGAAGTACACAGTCCTACAAAGGCAAAAAACCTTAACTTACCACTTACCTTGAGTGTGAAACTGAGAAAAATGACTTCAAAGTTTCTGTTTTGTCCAGACAAAAGTATAATAGGTAGGGCCCCCAATACTTGACAACTAGTTGCTATAATGAAGAATATTTGTATGCGAAAAATACTGAACTCAAAATTGACCTTTGACCCTTATTTGTCAGTTCCTGTACTCTGCCTTTGTATCATGAGTTAAAAATAAGGAGTCGTGCAAAAGGCAAAAGGCAGAAACTGATATTAGTCAAACAGTTTGACAGTATGACAAGTTAATTTTCAGTATAGTATGTACAGTATGAACAAATACCAAAATACTTTCACTTTAAAGAGTATAATAATGTGGAAAAATAGTATAATTGAATACAAAGGTTTATTATTTAATGTGCTAAGACTCTGTGCCAAGGCTGCAACAAAAAGGAGGTAAGAGGTTGGATTTTAAAATAAAATCTATTTATTAACTAAATCATAAACAAAACATACACCAGGGGTCTCCAACCTGTAGCTCGGGAGCTGCCAGTAGCTCTCCAAATGATTTCTGATTACACATACTGTGCTGACCAAGTAAAACTGAATTAATTATGATTGTAAATCGATCATTTTGATGTTTAACATTGTGCACTAATAAATGGATAATAGTTTAAGTTGTATGGAGATCTAACCTGTTCCCCATCTAAGGTGTATTATGGCTGTTATATATGCTCATTTTTTCTGACCACTGACATCTGTAGCTTTGTAAAGGTAGCTCACTAAAGGAAAAAGGTTGGAGACTCCTGACATACACTGTTACTACCTTTTGCCTTTTGCATGATGACACAAACTGACAAATAAGGGTCAAAGGTAAATTTTGAGCTCAGTATTTTTCCCAATAAAGGAGCTCTCAAATACTCCTGAACTGACATTAACTCAATTTTGGCCAAATATGATGTTGCGCGTTCTGTATTTGTAGGGCAATACAGTTGTAATTACATGGATGGTTGTAGTTGTAGTAAAACATATTTAAAAGTAAAGAAGTAAAGTAAGTGTTAGTCGTCATGATTGTAACTGTACTGCTACAATTGTACATAGAAAGTAGCGTTGTTTGTAGATGTTATAACTTAAATAAACCTTGATTTATTTGATTGTTATTCCAGTATTTTTCTAAATTCTGCTGGTAAAGAATAGGCTTACATAGACTATCTAAACAAACACATCTTGCACATTCCTCGAATCGTTTGGGTACAAGATGTTTCACACCATGACCTCAGATAACCTTAATTACATCTTTCTGATTTTTCTTGACAACAATCCAAGTTTCAGAACAGACAGGTGACGATTTGTTGATTCATGCACACGTAAGCCGCATGTTGACAACAAAACATAACCGGGAAGATGAGAAGCATTCATCCATAACAGAAAGACATGATATTAAGTGACATTAGTAAAAGTTTATGAGCTTTACACATTCAGTTTGGCTCTTGTGTTGGAGGTTAAAAAGTCTCTCACAATTCTCCCGGGCCCCTCCCTTGCTCCACTCCCTGTGGCTCGACTCCAGCAGAGATAGGCACGTCACAGGAGTGTTCGTATTTGGGTGAGCCATGTGCTGACACTGAAGAAAAAAAAAGAAAATGATATGAGTGATTAATGCGTGAATCTTCGTCTGACAATTGTGATGCGGCCCTGCGTGAATCAACTCAACCGTCTCTATCACAACATGTCAGGGCGGTAACCATGTAATTAATAAAATGGGATTACCAAATGAATGTTTTTTCCGTGAATATGTTTTTAGAAATGTGCTGGGATTTGTTTTCATGAATGTATGTGGGTATTTTTTAAAGCTCCACTGAGTAACAGTTCCGGTGGAGAGTTTGTCACGTGCTTGTCTTATTGGGAATGTGAAAGTTTTACCTGGAATGTTCACACGAAACAAATCCATATGATATTTATTCAGTTATAAGTGTTAGAAAAGATGCATTTTTTTTTACTGTGTGGTCTTGCCTCTTGACAGATCCGATCTGTAACTTGGCCTGGTGACATCACTCGCTTGTCTCCATGAAGAAACATTTAATGGCATAGTCTAGAACTTTCTAAGCATAGCAATAACATTTCACGCAGGGGACTCAGCAAATAAAAAGTCACAAAAGGCACCTATACATAAAAATTAATACAAAAAGTGTAACCATGTTAAAGTGTTATATATTAGTGCGAGTAATGAACACTCACTTCAAAATACTCATATAGGGTTCTAGTAATTTTAAGCCACCAGTAATATTTATCCAATATCCAATATATTATCCAAATCCACTTTCCATTTCTATAGCACATTTTACACACAAAGCAGTTTCCAAAGTGCTGCACAGAGATCATAAACAACAAAACGTATAAGTGAAACTTTAACATTTGATCATAATAGTCCTAAAACAATAAAAAAAAAAAAACTGTATAAAATCAAATAAAAGATAACCAAAGTCAAACAAATAAAAGACACAGAGAACCACCAATTCATGCAATGTTAAAAGCCAGAGAATAAAACTAGGGGTTAGGGTTAGGAGTTAAGTAACCAAAAAATTACACAGGTCTGTCACCTTCTTGTTTCTTTGGATATGACATTGCTCTGCCTGAAATGTTCCACAGTATAAAATTAAACACTTCCACCTTACATTTATTCAATTACAGATGGTTTTATAGCTCAAAAATACCCAGAAAAAACAGGCATGCTGACTGTGAATGGAGACACCTCTCCATAGATCTGGCCTGTAACATGGTCTGGTTTGGTCACCATGAAGATAGTAAGATTTAATACCATACTGTGAAACATTCCAAATCCAGTTTATTTATAAAGCACTATTAAAAACATAAAAATTGACGAAAGATACACAATGATAAAAACATATGTATAATACAAGGCAAAGGAGAAATTCAGTTTCTCGACTGGACGAAAGTTTATTTGGTCGAATACTTTTCCCAGCTCATCCAAGGTGCTTCTTCAGTTCTGGTCAGAATGCTTGTGGACACTTCCTTATATATATCTCATAATACAATGAAAAAATATATACAACAATTATTGAACAGTAAAAAAGCTCAAAACTAGTGAAAAGTCAAAGAAAACAAGTGTGTTTTAAGAAGTGATTTAAAAGCAAGAAGAAAGTCAGCTTGTCTTATGTGAATAGGCAACTCATTCCATAATTTAGGCCCAATAACAGAAAATGCTCTGTCTCCTCTAAGCTCTAACCCTCTGGACTGAGGAACCACGAGCAGAGCCTGGTCAGCAGATCTGAGGGAACGCGTCGGAGAGTATGGCACCAGCAGGTCAGCAAGGTATTGTTGGCCAAGGCCTTTAAGGCATTTAAAAACAAATAAAAGTATTTTAAAATCCGCTCTGAAACAAACAGGGAGCCAGTGAAGGGCAGACTGGATTGGGGACACATGGTCGTATTTCCGTGAACCAGTTAAAAGATGAGCAGCTGCATTTTGTACGAGCTGACTTATGCCAACATAGAGGGCATTGCGGTAATCCAGTCTTGTCATGACAAAAGCCTAGATCAAAATCTCAAAATGGTGCCTCGAAAGTGATGGCTTTATCTTTGCCAGTTGCCTCAAATGGAAAAAGCTAGTCTTTACTACAGCATTCCAGACAATGCAATAACATCTCCATGGACAAAAGCATATGACAGAGCCCCTGCCAGAAATGTTACAAAATGCAACTTTAAGACTCTACTCCAATAGAAGGCTGGGAGCTCAATCAATACTCGTAGCATTGTTGTGTTGATAGTAGTAGTAGAAGACAGTGGTATTAGAAATCATAGTGGAAGCAGTAATATAAGCAGAACCTTGTTTGATAGTGCTTTATTACGCTGCCATAGTTACTTAGTAGTAAATGACCTTTGCACCAGTTGTGGTGTAGGAGTCGGACCAACAGCGTATAACTGGTGCGTGTCTCCCTCCCCACCTGCTGTTGACAGAAACTGTTCACCTATCCTTCAGTGGACACACACTGGGAGACACACCCAGCTCACAACTCAGTATGACTCGCTTGGCTGCATATCCTAACACACTGACCATTCACACCTGCCTGGCCTGACTATTTGTCATGGCAAACAACCAAAGGACTCTGTTACTTACCCTTTTTCAGTTGAGCCTATGTCTTTATCATTGGTCAAACTGCTATCAGAATGAGTCATGCCGTGAAACCAAGTTCTCACCAGTGTTTTATGTGCTTGCCTGTGTGCATTATGTACCTTCTTTGGTGCTTGTCTCTGTGGAGATAATGCTGTTTTGCCTGGAATGCTCAAAAATAAGGCATTCATTTGAACTATCTTGCATTTATACATTTATATCTTGCGTTATAGGTGATTTCATTGCTCAGAAATAACATGGAAAACATTCCCACTCCTCTTCACAAATCTCATCTGACACCTGGTGGCAGCAGCTACTTGTCTCCATGGAGATAATTTAATATCTGTGCGCATATTTATGTAGTATTTAGATTACATGTAGCCTGTAACATCGCCATGGTGACTTGCAGGTGGCGCGTCCTCCCCCAGAAAAGTGACAAATTGCACCTTAAATAATCAAACAGTTAAAAGTGTGCAAAATGTTGGTTCAAACGTGCAAGGCCGGTTCCGTAATGCATTATGCACGAAGTAATGAAAAATGCATAAGATAAGGGCCACTCCCACTGATTGTATCCAGGTTACGCAAACTCAAACCAATGTGTGCTGATATCAGTCTGTTTTACCCTTTTTGATGTGTAGAAGCATCACACTGCCCCATTTGTGCGCTTGTACTTCGCTTCATTTTACGAGTGGTTCACCTAGAAACTGGGATGCACTGCAAAGGAATTTCACAGCCACCAAAGAAGTTCTACACGGGGGAGAGAAGAATACAGATAAAAATAGACCTTTACTACTATGTTCACGTCTAATACAAGAAAAATAAAGTTATGAGTTAGTCTGAGCCTGTCTAGAAGCACATCTTTGTTTAATTATGTCAGGGGATCTTCTTTCTGGCAGGAATTCTCACACGCTTCCCCCTCCCAATACGCGCGTTTTTCTCGTTTGGCGTTTTAGTAGCTTTTAAGCCACTTCACCTGTATTTTCTGTCCTTTCAGGTTAAAACAATAGACTGTACACAAACACGACAGCAATGCACTGGCGTGGAAAGTGGACCCCCACCTTTCTGACTCCGTTATCAGGAAAAGCTAGTGTGAGCGAGCAGGCAGGGAGAAAGGACCCGCCTATAGCTGACTAAGTTCGTACTTGCTCCAGTAGAGGGTCAAAGTCTGTGCCCAAAGCAACAATAGACAGTGTGTAGCATAAAGCAAACGGAGTTCCACATCACGTAAACCCAACAGACTTCCAGCACCGATGGCGAACTGTCCGAAATTTAGGTTTTTGTTTCTGATTTTAATGGTAAGTACGAATTTTACGCATTACGCCCCAAATTTATTCAGGCGAGTTAACGGGATTTTGGCAGGTGGGGCTGCTTGCTACGACTTTAATATTTAAAATGGAAAAATCAAACTGTAAGAATTACACTCTCGAAAAGTATTTGCTACCGGCTACAAATTGTACTTCTGGTTACGCGCTACGTGAATTAACTTACGTATACATTTTTTCCTTAGTTTTTTCCTGTTGATGCCGAGTGGATCATCGCTCCCAGAAGGCTTTACGAGAACATTGACTACAGGGGACTTGAGTTCATTGCCAGGGTATGTACTTTTTTGATTAATTTTTTTGCTGTGTTGGAATACGGCGTAGTGACACGTTGGATTTGGTATGCGTAAAAGTAGCTCATTGTGGGCTATATATAGGCTAAGACGATGGCTATTGAAAATGTAATTGATTATCTGAAACCCCCTTTAAGAAATAAATGGGGAAAAAATGAATATGTTCTTTAGCCTCTTGTTTTAAAGTTTTAATCTCTGACAATTGCAATTTATAGTCTTTTTAGCTGAAAATAAGTGGTGAAAATGGGTCCTTAACTATTTCTATATCGATTTATGGTTCTGTACATGATAGCTGAAACAACCATTTTTTGTTTTTTCTTGTACTGATGGGCAAGTTTTTGTTAGTTATTCTGTTCTACTACAAAATTTGAGCTGCAAATGTTTGGATAAATCTGAATCACAGATAGAAACTAAGTCTTAAGTTGTTCATTTTGATAGCCTCATTTTGGTTATTGCAGCTCACACTTTTTAACAGTGTTGCACATTTAGAGAGATTTAAGATTATTGTATCAGTGTCATAAATGAGTTTTAATATATATTTCATGGAGGAATGCTATGTTTTCTTCAGCAAAGTATTGCCCTTCAAAGTTTGTTATTGTGACAGGCCTAGTCTTAACATCTTAAAATGTGTGGACTAAAGACTGTTCGGTGACCTGGATTTGATCAGAATTAGAGATTAAAGGTGCATTGTGTAACTTTTCTGGTGCTGCTTGTTTCTGTGAATATGTCATTGCTCTGCTTGGAATGTTCCACAGTATGACATTAAACAGTGCTACCTTACATTCTTTCAATCACAGGTGGTTTTATAGCTCAAAAACACTTAGAAAAACAGGCATTCTTACTCTGAGCAGGGTCGCCTCTCCATAGATCTGACCTGTAACTTGGTCTGGTTTGGTCTCAGTGAAGATAGAAAGATTTAATACCAAAATGTGAAACATTTCAGACAAAACATCTGTAGAGGGAGAAAACCCTCCACCGGAAAAATTACACAATGTGCCTTTAAGATGAAGTCCCTCTTTAGTGTAAGATAAACTAGATCTGTTTTTTTTTTTTTTTTTTGCTATGTGGGAGTTATTGTCCTTTGTATTTTTGGGAAAAGCGATGGAGATGGCATGTTTCTACCTTTATATTGTATGAGCAGTGTTGTCTGTATAGTACACCTGTTGAGTGTAGTAATGTGTTGCCTTAAGGTGACAGACAAATCAGACTTCATGACAGATAAGATGAATCATTTGACATATAGTTTAGACAGCTCGGAACAGGCTGGATAACATAAAACTCTTGTCTTTTACTTGTGTGACAACATGTTCCTTTTTATTCCCTTAGATTTGCTCTGTTAAAGAAAATAATTTGTGTTTATGATTAGGAAAATGTGGGCCCTTTAACATTTAATTTGGGGATTATTTGGTTTATCAAATATTTGGATTGTTTAGTTCAAATAATTGTGAAAATATTATGAGTAAAATTTTGTCATTTCAGTTCAAAGTTAATTTTCATAAAGCTAGTCACATATTGTAATGTCAGTGAAAGTGAATTAAGAAGTTCTCAATAGTTGGGTTATGTTGTCAATAACCATAAAATCTTTTCTTTTTAGAATTACGGTGATGCATCAAACTCGATTTCACAGACATGATGACTCATTTGACTCATAGTTTGGATTACAGAAATGTCTTGTGTTTTACTCGTTTGACAAAATGTTTTTTTCTTATTTCCTTAGATTCGCTCGGATAAAGAAAATTTCACAAAAGTCTTCTATTCACTACGTGGCCCTGGTGTTAACGAGTACCCATTTAATGTATTTGGCGTTGATTCTAACACGGGATATGTTAGAATCTACGCTATTTTGGACAGAGAACAATTTGACTCCTATCAAGTAAGCACAGTGGAATAATTATTTAAAAATAACATGTTTTGCATGATTATTATTAGTTTTTTTTGTTTGTTTTCTATTTGGTTGTGTTGCACTGAAAAACTTAGAAAACATGTATCCTTACTGTGAGCGGGCTTGTATCTTCACAAACCTGACTCTTACATGGCCTGGTGAAGTGCCTCTTCCTGCTTGTTTCCATGGAAATGTTGGTCCTTTGGCTATAATGTTGCACAGTGTGGCATAAAAATATATATCTATCCCTGGAGAATGTTCCAGAGTGTGGTTTTAACTTTTTAATTCCATGGAGTCATGAAGGGGACATACCACCGCCAGAAAGTTGCATGCTGTATTTTAAAAACGATAGAAAGAAGAAAAAAAAAACCTTAATACACATATTTTTTTGTATTAGTTACTAGGTGAGGCAAGATTTAGCGATGGAACCCGTGCAGAAAAAGACATCCCCATTCCTATCAAAGTTTTGGATCAGAATGACTGTACACCTGTGATCAAACTACAGACTGGCTCAGTTCTTGAAGCAAGTGCAATTGGTAAGACGACAATTAAGATCTAAATAAATCTAAATAAAATAATTTCATGAAGACTTTCTAAACACATTTTTCACTCAATGTTTTCAGGCACCGTTGTGATGAGGGTGATCGCCACTGACGCAGATGAAGAAAATTCTCTCCACTCACAGATACATTACAGTATTGTGCAGGAGAGTAATGTCGGGGGCATGTTCGAGCTAAATGCAAGAACAGGAGAGGTCATAGTGCGAAGGACTACGCTGGACAGAGAGGTCAGCTACTTTTATGAATCATACGAATTATTGATACTTCTCTGACTACTAGTATGTCTATGGAGGAATGTGCAGCAGTTCCCATGGTGAAACAATGCCCACTTTAGTAAATACAGTGTGACATGTTTTTAGATTGTTAAAAAGCTCAAGTAAAAAGTGCAAAATGGATTTAAACAAACTGAGATCAATATGAGGGTTGTGACTAGGGGTGTAACAATATCCAAGTCTCACAATCCAATATCGTCACGGTATGAACCTCACAGTACGATATTTATTGCGATATCGTGGGAAAGCTCACGATATGGTAGGGAGGCTCACGATTAGGGCTGTAACAATATCCAAATCTCTCGGTACGATATTTTCACAATATACATCTCACAGCACGATATTTATTGCGATATTTTGTGGCGTTAATATGCTACTTTTTCCTCTTAAAATGCCTTGACAAGACTTAATCCAAAGAACTAAGACTTAAAAGTGCTTAGAAGCATTATTTCTTCTTGTAGTCTGCACTGAAATGGAGCAAAGGATCATGGTCTATGTAGTTCCCTCTGACTTTTTTTTTTTAGCTCTTGCACCATAACTCTTAATTTAAGCAAAGAGACTTGAAATTCAATATATTGTGATGGTCCACGCTATTATTGTGAGAACTTTGACGATACAATATCGCGATATTTCGGTTATTGTTACATCTCTAGTTGTGACTGTAATGTTATTTAAGAAAGACTTGTGTAAGCATCTGTTGCAGTATCACCTAAGTCAGTTGTGTAAAAACAAAACTCATTAAAATCTAACTTGAGTAACAGAGCTTCACAGACAGAGCAGTGCCTCCAGTTAGCCTCACCCCGCCCTAGAGAACGTTGATTACATCAGCTGCAAAGTATCAATAGTGTAATATGAATATGTCTAATGCAATGGCTCATCTGTTTGTCTTCTGTAGACTAAAGACACTTACAAGCTCACCATAAGAGCTGCTGATATGAATGGTGCAGCTGGAGCAAATGTGGGAACGGGCGAAATTGAAATAAAACTTCTGGACATAAATGACAATATTCCCACTCTGGAAAGAGAATTTGTAAGTCATTGTTTTCTACATTTTGTTAAAAAAAAAAAACTGTTATTATTGGCTTTGTTGTGAGAAATGATTTCTCTTCTAGTATGAGGCAAGTGTGGAGGAAAATACAGTGAATGTGGAAGTGCTGAGGATTCAAGCGATTGACCTGGACATGATGTACTCTGAAAACTGGATGGCTGTTTATGAGATAACCGACGGAAACCAGGCTGGCTATTTCACCATTACCACGGATCCAAAAACAAATGAGGGAATAATCATGATTCAGAAGGTAAATATTGCAAATGTTAATTCATTATTAAAGGTGGAATATGTAGCGTTTTTGATGTTTTCATTTCTATAAAACTTGGAAAACTCCACAGATCTGACCAGTAACTAGACCTTCTGGCATCAGCAGCTTGTCTCTATGGAGATCGATATGTTTAGATACATAGATAAGACAATATAAATCGTCATGGAAACAAACAAGTGGAGTGTAGCATGTAATTTGTCTGTACCACAAAAAGTTACATATTGCACCTTTAATATTTAATTATGGGAATATTTGGTCTACTTTAAATTGTAATTATTTAGGTCACAAAAAGTTGAGCAAATTTAAGTGATTTCAGTTCTTTTTTTTTTTTTTACCTGGCCATGTATATTCACATTAACTTAAGTTTGATTTCTTATAGTTAGTCACATATTGTATTAGAAAATGTGAATGAAAGTGAATTAAGAATTTGACAGTTGTTTGTTTATGGTGTCAGTAATCATAAATAATTATAAAAATATATAATGTTTCTTTTCTTAATAATCATAACACATTTTTCAACCTTATTTACAACTCTAATTACAGTCGATTGACTATGAAGAACTCAAAGTCGTCAACCTGGAAGTGTCTGTGCGCAACAAAGCGTCGTACAACTTTGGAAGTGCGGTGATAGTAGGAGGAGTAGGAGGAGGAGGGGCTGGAGGAGGGGCTGGAGGAGGAGCCGGGAAAGGATACCCAATCAAAATCAATGTGATCAACCAGAAAGAAGGCCCCAAATTCCAGCCAAGTGTCAAAGTAGTGGCCATTTCAGAAGACCGTACACAAGTGACACTCCACTCCATCATCAGTAGATACGCTGCCATAGATACGGACACAGGGCTGATAGCGACTAACGTCAGGTATGTACAAAATATGCAAAATAGCGTAGTAACTTTTACGGTGGAGGGTCCACCACGTGCTGGTCTCCATGGAGATGGTATTGCTTAGCCTAATTCATCAGCTGGTTTAACTTCGTAGAAACCGTCTGACCTTGCAGTGTTAGAATTTGTTCGCTTGACAGTAGGCGGGTACTTGTTTTTATTTAACCAAGCTGGTATATTAAGCTTTTCCCAAATCCCGTAGGAAGAAGGGCAATAATGTCTTTCCCTTGATAAAATTCACTGAACATTCTCTTTGTTCCGGCTTTAAATCCTTGATTTCAGGAATCGTTGCCAACAGAGAATGTCTTTGCTGATTGGCTGGTGCCCGAACTCGCACTTCTGGGGTTTTTGTGAACCGTCTCGTGTATTTCGAATCCTAGTCACAGGAGAGAAATGAAATTGAGTGGAGGCACTAGGTCATATTTTGAAGCGTGATATACTGCTGAAGTAAATATAGACGATAAATAAAAATATCGAAACTAAATCATAAAGCAGAATTCTCCCGCTAAAACTACTCTAAACGTATATTACAGTAAAATAAATAAATAAATTAATTAATATAAATATCAGAATGCAACACATAAGTAGTTAGTATGTCTCTATAATGAGTAGAAGTTCATAATTCAACTCTCTACAGCTCAAATCTCATCATAGTACAGAAAAATAACTAATAAATATTGGCCCCTTAAAAGTATTCTTCCATTTAACATATATTGAACGATAAGTCGAAATATTAATTATCATGACAGGCCTAGGTATTGCACTGTCTGGAAAACTCATCTGCTAAACTCATCTATCTTCGTTGGGGTTAACTAGGTGACACCAGCGTAAAGGTTAGATATTTGCATGACAGGTATGTTTAATGCTATACTGTGAAACATTCCAAGGAAGGTAAGCATCTACATGGTGGTAGCGGACTCTCACCACCCGCTAGAAATGTTACAGAGGGCTATTGACTAATTTTATTTTATTGAATGGTTTTAGATATGCGAAGATCTATGATGAGGATAACTGGCTGATCATTGATGAGAATACAGCTGACATTAAGCTGAATAAGTTGCCAGATCGGGAGTCCAAGTACTTGATCAATGGAACCTACTATGCTCAAATTATTTGCATCACTAACGGTAAGTAAAATAAATGTATACTTTAAAGGGCTCATATGTTATAATGTTGTTTCCTCATCACAAATATACCTGGAGTTGTGTTTTGTTTCATGTTATACACACAAACCCTGCATATTTAGTGTTCATCTCTCAAACACTCTGTTCCACCTTGTGATACTACCACGTGGTAATACAGGAAGTGCTCCACTGTGTTTATAAACTCCGTACACCTTCACTAGAATCATTTGGATGATTTCAGATCTGGAATTGCCAATCTCTAGTGAACTAAAGGTAAAAGGTAGCTGTTATCTTGAAAACTACCGCTTCATGACATCACGAGGTGGAACAGAGCATTTTGAGCTATGAAGATAGAGCCAGACTAATATATAATATAATAATTCTAACTTTTTTTTTTTTTTTTTTTCATTGATGAAGTATAAAAAAGCATTAACAGTGTCACAACATCAAACATACAAGAAATGAATGAAAAGGAGCAGAAAGAAGAGTCATTTTATGTTATCTGCCCTCTTTTCCCTTTTCCAGACAATACATCAACACCGATAGTTACTTTAAAACAGTTCAAATCAGTACATTTCAGTCACAATTATTAATCAATTGCAAACTGAAATCTTGCACAAATTAGTTTCGTTTTTCATACACATTGAACTGTGTTTTTTAAATGCCATCATTGTACTTGATTCTTTTATATCTTTGTCAAAACTATTCCATAAATTAACTCCTTTCACAGTAACATGGCTTAAAGCTCATAAGAGTCAAATTTGCATAATATAGGACCTTAAAAAGTTGTACAGACACCAAGCAACATTTAATTCTAGTGTGTGAATAAATGTAATAATATCTGAGAAATAGTGTTGGTAGTATTTGGGACTATTGTAGTAGTAACTTATAGTGATAATATTATCCATATTTTAGACTCCCCAGCCAAGACTGCTACCGGCACCATTGCAATTCAAGTGGAGGACTTCAATGACCACTGCCCAGAGCTGACCGTCACCAAACAGACCATGTGCTTCGAGGACACATCTGTTTACGCCACGGCCGTCGATAAAGACGAATTCCCCAACTCAGCACCATTTGTTTTCACTATCATTGAATCTAAAACTACAGGAGGAAAATGGACTGTGGAGCCTTTCAATGGTAAGACAGACTACTATTTTAACTACCATCGGTTTAGCAGGTTCAGTCACGTTTGATGATTATAGTATCAAGTTTTCATCATATAATCATGGTTCTCCAAGCAGGTTTACCAAGACACTACACAGAGGCATGTCACAATAACAGTTTTGAAGATTTGAAGCACAATATATGGCTACAAAGAAATATTGAAACTATTGTATGTTACTAAAATGAAGATAATCCCAGTAAACCATTTTTAAATAGTCAGTATCATTAAAGGGCCTGAGCTGTAACAAATAAATAGAGAATGAACCAATAATTATATTTATAGAAGTTATTTACTCATAGCCTGATTAATCAGCCGGTTTCACTTTGTGGAAATCGTTTGACCTCGCAGCGTTAAAATTTGTTTGCTCGATGGTAGGCGGGTACTTTTTTTATTTAGCCTATCGCTGTTATTTGGTAGTCACGTATGTAATGCAGTTAACAGGGCTAACTGGTATATTAAGCTTTTCCTAAATCCAGTAGGAAGAAGGGCAATAACGTTTTTCCCCTTGATAAAATTTAGCAAACATTCTCTTTAAATCCTTGATCTCGGGAATCGTTGCCAACACAGAATGTATGGCTCATTGCTGATTGGCTGGTGCCTGAACTCACACTTCCAGGGTTCTTGCAAACCGTCTAGTGTATTCTGATTCCTGACCTAGTCGCTGGAGAGAAACGAAATTGAGCGGAGGTACTAGGTGGTGCCAGCCTGGCTAATTTATTCAGCCCTTGTCAGCTCAAATCTTATCAAAGTGCAGAAACATAACTAAAAAGAAATTGTACACATGATAAATTTGGGCCCCAAAATATACTGTTCTAGCTTTCATATATGGAATAAGTTGAATTAGTAATTACAGTGACAGGCCTAACTGCACATCTTATCTTGGTGGTCGTAAATTAAAGCTGGAACATGTCACTCCAGGAATAGACTCCATCATTAGTTTTTATTACCATTGGAAATCTGTCATAGGCTAAATATGCACAGAACTGCAGCTAAATTAAACAGTTTTTTATGTATATGTGCTGGTACAAAACATTGACAAGTTGCACTATGTACCCTGCTTGTTACCCTAGAGATGTTATTGCTTTGGTTGGAATTTGAACTTATCTATCTCACATTTGATGAAGGTGTTTTTATTGCAAACGTACAGTTGCCTCTCCACATATTTGACTGGTAACTTGATCCTGTGGCACTACTGGCTTTTCTCCGTGGAGAAGTTTAATGAAATACTGTGGGAAATAATAAATATCTCCATAGAGACAAGCACGTGGTGAAAAAAGTTGCATGGTGCACATTTACTACTCAAATTTACTTCTAAAAATATAAAAGAAATCAAGAATCTCTAGAATTTTTTGATGTGATGTTGTATACTAGCCTGATTCATCACCTGGTTTCACTTCGTAGAAAACATCTAACCTTGCAGTGTTAGAATTTGTTCACTCGACGGTAGGTGGGTACTTTTTATCATTTAACCAATCGCTGCTATTTGGCAGTCGCATATGTAATGCGCCGCTATCAAGGCTAACTGGTATATTAAGCTTTTTCCAAATCCCATAGGAAGCAGGTGATGAAATTCACCAAACATTCTCTTTGTTCCAACTTTAAATCCTTGATCTCGGGAATTGTTGACAACACTGAATATATGGCTCTTCGCTGATTGTTTGGTGCCTGAACTTGCACTTCCGGGGTTTTTGCAAACAATCTAGTGTATTCTGATTCCTAGTCGCTGGAGAGAAATGAAATTGAGCGGAGGCACTAGGGTGCCAACCTGGGCTCTATGCAATATTAGTTAATCTCCAGCTTCTACTTATGTGGTTATAAAAAATGTATGCAAAGCCAGAACAAACAAAATAAACCAGAACATAGACAAATTGACGCAACATAGAATTATATTTCCTATCATATAAAAACACTGCTTACATTTTAATCAATATATTCTTTTTTGTCCATTTTTCAGAAACTACTGTCATTCTGAGGGAACACTCCAACGTCTGGCCCGGTCATTACAAGGTTGCCCTGGAGATAAAAGACCAGCAGGGCAAAGCATGTGGAGAGGTGCAGGTGATGGATGTGTCTGTGTGCACTTGTGAGGAGAATACAAAAACCTGCACACATCGAACCAACAAGACTGTGGAGTTCGGGCCCTGGGGTATCCTTGCGCTGCTGCTAGGCCTGCTCTTTCTACTATGTGAGTAACCTGTGTTTTCTTAAGAGTCATTTACTTTCTCTCATGGCAACGTAACATGCAAGTTGTAACAGGGAGACCGCAACTGAGAAGGGCGGGACCTAGGTGGGACTCGGGGTGGGCTGTGGTATGTGCAAAAGGAACGCTGCTTAGGTGTAATTCACATAAATACACTGCAAACACTAAAATCTAGCCAAGTTAAGATGACTTGAATTAAGAAGGTTTTATCATGATTTGAGTAAATTTCACGTGTAAGTAAAATTTTCTACCAATGGAATAAGAGTTTTTGTACTTAAATATGAAAATACATTTTACTACACAGATAAGATAAGAAAAACAACAACTCTTTGCACCTCTTTTGCAGTTAAAGTGAATGGATTTTCTAATCTATCTAATACAAAAATAACTAGAAAAGCACTCAGAGAGCACAGACCTCCTCCAAGGACTACAGTCCCCCTCATATTAATTGTGTTTTCCATAAATATTTGTCTTGTATCTTTCAATTTGGAATATGAAAGAGGATCCCATTGTCCATTCCTGAGTCAAATTTCATGGGGTTTGGTCAATAATTAACCGAGATATTGAGAAACAAAATTTTTGGCCCCATTTACCACAATGTTAACTAAAATTTCAAAGTGAATCCAGGATTTCTTCCGGATCACCCCCAAAATGAAATCAGTTCTTCCTTTTCACATTTCCAACAAATCCTGAAAATTTCATCAAAATCGGCCCATAACTTTTTGAGTTATGTTGCTAACAGACAAACAAACAAACAAACAAAGAAACAAACAGACAAACGCCGGCAAAAACATAACCTCCTTGGCGGAGGTAACTAGATGCTGTCATCTGGATAATTGCTGACTTCAGGGTGTGTAGAGTTGAAAACAAGTTTTTTTTTAGTTTTTTTTTTTTACATAAAATATATAATAGTATGTTATGTATTGTTCGAAAAGGAGTGGGAAGAAGTTTTAACGGTGTGCTTAATTTCCCCCATTACGTTATTTTAAATGACAGGATATTACATTTGATACTTCCTGCTGTGTATCTGCACTACATAACAGACTTCTGCAGACACTAAACTATACATTCATCTCAGTACTTACACGTTTCTAATTGTTGTTACTAAAACTAGTGTTAAAATTAGACTTATTATTAAAATCTAAAGTATCAAAAGTATCAAGTATCAAAAGACAACATGGTGATTTTTTAATATATAAAGTGGAGTTTAAAATTACGCTCTATTAAAAAAATCTATTGATTATCAGTCCTTCTCCTGAATATCAGAACAAAGAATTACATTTACATTTCTGCAACATATAAATAATGATGGGACATTCCAGTAAATATTGTGTGCAAACAGTCCACAAGTGTTAGCAGTAACCAAGTATTGTATTGTGTGTTTCAGTGCTTCCTCTGCTGCTGCTGTTCTGCCTGTGTGGAGGGGCCTCTGCTCTAGGAGATTTCAAGGCTATTCCTTTTGAAACAAAACAACAGCTTATTTCATATCACACTGAGGGAAAAGGAGAAGACAAGGTACATAATTTATGCACATTATTTGCTAATTCAAATATATATATATTTTTTTCTATATGGCTATAATGCAGTTACAGATTATTTTACTGCTAAAACACATTGAAAAGTGTGAGTGGGGTCAAATCTCCACAATATGAGCTGTAACTTGGCTTGGTGGTTTCAACTGCTTGTTTTTATGAACTCAGATAATTTTAATGACGTTCCTCAAAGCATCTCCATGAAGACAAGCATGTGGCGACCATTCACATTATTGTAAAAGTTACATAGTGAACCTAAAGACATCAACAAAATAACCATATACGACAACAACGATATTCTTTCAACTCTTATTCTTTTTAGCCAACTTAATCACAAAATCAGCAGTTTAACAAATTACACTTTTTGCCTCTTTTTACCCTCATTTGTCATTTTACCTGCTATTTATCCTGTCCATATGGTGGATCATACATAATAATAGTCTGAGACACTTATTGTACGTAATAGTGCTGCATCCTTTTAAATTAACCCTCTCAGGCTCAAATTAATTTTTAGTATCAGGAAAAATCTGATATTTGGGGAAAATTGTAATATTGGGTAGTAATATACAATCCTGACTTTTTTATTCTTTGTAAAAAAAAAAAAAAAAAAAAGTATTTTGCACTTCTGACAGGCCGTTTGCGTGTAGCCATTCTTGCACAGTCTGCATCGCCCACGTTTATCAGCATGGATGGGACATAAGGCTCCTGAGTTAAAAAAGCTCATAAAATATGGATGTGGAGTAAGTAGGTAATTGGCATTTAGCTGTTGCAAATCTGCAACGTCTGCCTGGAGAGGGTTAAATTTTAAAAATAAAATAAAATGCATTGCAATATTTTTTTCAACATTTCAACATTACGTGACAAAATAAATATCATAGCTCACGCTACTATACTATTTAATATTATGACATTATCTGAAACCCAACCATTGCATATTCATTTTTTCTAGGACGTGCCGCTCCTCACCGCCCCCCTGGAGATAGATGGTGGCGCGGGGGTGGTCACTAAAGACGTGAACACCCTGAGCGGAGGTGGAACCATGGGAGGAGGAGGAGGAGGGTTTGGAGGAGGGTTTGGAGGAGGCATGCACACAAACACATGGAGGGAGAACGTGGACGATTATAACCAGTACAGCCACTTCAACAGATATGGGCACAGGGAACACTTTCAGGGAGGGACGCTGACCGGACACGAGCACTACATGACCCAAACTGGTGCTGGAGCATTTGACGGCATGGCCCTCTCCGAAAACTTCCTGGGAGAGTATTATTTAAATGTGAGTAAAAGTTAAAATAATATAAATTGTGTAAATAGAATATGGTTCTATTTGGGTTCTCGGTAGCTACAGAAATATTGAGGCTCAAAGTTTTGACCACTCACAGAGAAAATGGAATCAGGAAGGATTTTTTTTTTTTTTTTGCTAATATAAACCTAAACAATTACCAAACTCTTGAAGAAGGTATTCAGAAACAAGAATATATAATACTCAATTTTGGCAAAAACATTAGATAGAACCATATACTTCTAAGGGGAAGAAATGTGTTGTTTTGAGGTTATGCAAAATTTGAAAATTTACATTACATTACATTTTGGTACATTTTAGCACGCATCAAAAGGATTGCAAAAGTTAGGAGAATCCACATAAAAATAAGTAAGTATTTAGATAAGGAGTCAATATTGTCCATATCTATTTAGGAGAAATTGGGAATTGTCAGTTGAAACATTGCAAGTGATAAGAAACATAGCCTGCAGCGTGTTTGGCGAGGTTCATGTGAATCTAGTATGCTGTTTAAATGTGTATGTCTGTCCTTAATCCTTTCCACTTTGCTAGTTAAACAACGTCAACCAGTTTGGACTTAATGTTAGTACAGCCTCTTTTGAATTTTTTTGTGCGTTGGAGCTGAATTGAAGCTTAGAGAGATTACATTTTTATTCCTGCAAGATATTAAAAAACATCTGAAATCCATTTTTGAGAAAGAGGTGGAATGTTGCCGTACTGGGTTGAATTAAAGGGTCTGTACCCGAATTTTTCCCATTTGAACATTTGAGCAAAATTTGCCGTGCTCCAGTTGAGATATTTTGTATAAAAAGCAACTCATGAGGTTAAAATAAGTCCACTGCCTGCTTCAACCGTCTAATAATCAGGAAGAACACAGTTAGCATGCTAGTGTTTGTTAGCATTACCACAAACGAGGGTGATAGGTTCACCTTTACACCTATACTCAATATTCAATAACAGGAGAGAAGACAAGAGATTAATATCTTTTACACGCGTGGAGGGAGTACCGAGAGAAGAGCTTTAGTTACATGTAACTTGCTGTTCACTTAATACCCTCTAAAGCCTTCTCTCGTTTCTCCACGCCTTTTATTCAATATTAGGACCCCTAGTTACAATGGGAACTACTCCTCTCAGAACGGGAGGGGGAACATGCAAAACATTAAACATTAAAGGATAGTAGTTAGATAGTAGTAGATAGTAGTTCCTCTTTTGCTTACAGGAAACACAAAAATAACACTTCAATACAGTATTCAGGCCAAAGTTAAGGTCAGTCTGCCCTTCCTCATTTCATCCTCCTTAGTTTATCCTCCTTAAGCAATGGTCGCCCAAGATGTTTCCTGTTATTGAATTTGACAGGAGTTCGTGACCTTCTGCAAACTCATGAAATCTGCAATACTCAGAAACAGAATTGTTTAAGTGCACATATTGATACATTGATTATAATATGATTAAATAACCAAAAGTGAATATTACATTACCATTACATACACAGTGAGATTAATATAAATGTTGAATCCATCAGAGGGAAACACATAACGGTGAATATTTTGTTTGTTCGGAATGCATAAGATAAGAGGAATAACTTTGGAACACTGCAAACTTGAAATTAAAACTTAAAATTAACCAGATCTGTTTTTTTCATGTTTTTACGAGTAGTAAAGTAAGTAAGTAAGTAAAAGGAAAAAGGAAAAGTCCAGGACAGTGCATTTAAAACATGACAAGAATAAATGAGTACAGATTTTTTCTCAACACATTGATGTTTTCTGCGTTACAGAAATCCAGTCATGAATCGCAGCAAAACCAACAAAAAGATGGATTTCTGGTGTACGATTATGAGGGGCGGGCGTCACCAACAGGTTCGGTGGGCTGCTGCAGTCTTCTGGAGAAAGACAATGACCTCTCTTTCCTCGACGACCTCGGACCCAAGTTCAAAAAGCTCGCCGAAATCTGCCAGGGCTCTGAAATCGTAACCGAGACCGTGGACACCGGGCTCTCCATCTCCCCTCCCAAACCCGTGTCTCCGGTTATTCCCTCCACGCACACCCACGTCCACACGCACTCCGAAACCATCCGCGACAGGGAGAGCAACGTCAACGTCAGCTCTTCCCACGTGACCTCCGGTAACTCCACCCTGATCCAGGAGCGGCACACGGAAACTAATCGGCCCAATGTACACGTGCAGGTGCCTACTCAGACTCTGCTCATCCAGCAGCCCGCCATGTACTACGCAGCCACGCCCATGTACATGGTGGAGCCTAACCCGCAGGTGGTGCTGGTGGCAGGGGGTGCTCAGCAAACAGTAGGACAGGTGGGGCAGGTTGCGGTGGGGCAGATGGGGTTGACTCAAGGGTTGGGGCAGGTGGGGTTGACTCAAGGGTTGGTGCAGGTGGGAGGTCTGCAAGGATCTCAAGGCGTGGTTCTAGTGGATCGGCAGGTAGGGCAGGTGGGCCAAGGTGGCTCCTCCAGGTCGCAGCAGCAGGTGATATTGGTGGAGGAGGGCGGGGTGACGGAGCAGGGCGGACAGCGCGTCGTTCTCTCCCGCCATGGCTCGTCGGGTCAGGGGCTAGAGGTCACAGGTCAGGGGTCGGTGAATGTGCAGAGCGTGGTTGGCGGTTTGTCGGGTTCCACGGGGTCAGTGGAGGATTTTGCGCTGACATCGGGGCCCAAAGCTTCAGGCAGTCAGAGAGTGGTTGTACAACATAAGAAAGTCACAGTCACTGAATCTAGAGAATCCAGGGCATAGGGTGTTCTTTGTTTGCTGTATCCACAATGTCAGTTTGTCACAATGTGTTAGAATATTTTAGAACAGTGCCACTCAAACTTGAAATACTTTATAACAGGATTATTCCAAGGTCAAATCTAGGTCTTAAACTGGATTACACATTTCTACTGTAACTCTAAACAAAGATTTATCTAAAGAAAAACCAAAAAGTGTATAAAATGAACTAAAAATTTGGTAGAGTTCCACCTGAAGGAGCTTGTGTACCACCACATTTTGAGACACTGTTTTAGAATGCTACTTCACTGGCTGTGTGCTATGATGACCATAAGTACAGTTTTACTGCTGCCATTTTTTGGTTGTGTTTTTGTTATGTTTTGGGTCTTTTTTTTTTTTTTTTTTGCAACCTTGACATTATCATTGCAGTATTGGTTTTTCAGCTGGCTCATAGCAAAAATGAATGATTTTGATTTTAAATTCCATAAACATGAACTAACTGTGTCCTCAGATAAACAAATCAAATACAGCTTTTACTGGTAACTATTGTAATGCTTAGGATTGTTATTTTAATGTGTTTTTTAACATCTTCAGAATGCCGACTACATACAGTTCCTTTAAGGACATTCAGTCAGAGTGTCCCTCACTGGTCCTCGCCCTAAAACATTGTATTTACTGCCCTAGTACTTGTGAAGGAACTCCCACATAAACAACAGGCCAAACCAGTCAGACCTACAGCGGGGCATACCAATTATCCCCACCCCACACCACTCTGATTGGTGACCTCTCGTTTGTACTGCTAAAGACTGCAACTGTCATGTTTAAAAGTACTGTACAGGTACAGTTTTTACTTGTTGTTTAGGTCGGTGGACTGATGTTAATATTTTGAATCACACATGGAAAAATAGTTGTTCTAACATGACTTTAACTACACTTTTTTTTGCACTTTTTTGTATATCCAGAGATTGCCTTTAATAGTTTACAACATTATTTTATACTGCATTGTTCTATGCAAAATGGAGTTAATACTAAACACATTTTGGTATCACTTTATAATAGCTTAATTGGCCGTAATAAAGCATGGTTTATTTATTAAAGTTTATCAAAGGTCTTTTACCAGATTTTTTTACCATGTATTTGAGGAAAATTGTCCTGCCCCAGTACAAGCAGCTTTTGAGATTAAAATAAGTCTGCTCTGTTCTGCTGTCTGCATTTAATTAAAAAGCATTTTACTGTCCAGATAATCAGGAAGTGCAGGGTTAGCATACTAGTTGTTGTTAAAGGTACCATCAAGGCAAAAAAGATTATCTAGATTTTTTAGTGCTCCTGCTGGGAAAAAAGAAGTTTTCTCTTAATGAAGCACAGCCAAAAGTATTTTCCACAAATGAACAAGAATCACTAATCTTGACTGATACCAAACAAACTTCTATTAGTAACCTGGGTATTGTTTTGTTTCTGTTAATGCACTCTTTTGTAAAATATATTTCTATATATGCGTGTGCTTAAATATTTGCAAATAACAGGTAGATCTTTTGTATATTATGGGAATAAATGCTGAAAGTTCACATTTGTTGATAATTTTTGGTTTGGGATTTAATGCTGTTTTTTATGAAATGCTTAAAAACAAATCTTTGAGATGTATTTGAAAATAAATAAAAGAGGTTCTAATGTTGAGTGAGTATTATTTTTCACTTTTACTCTGAAAAAACCTTTACACAATGTTTATAAAGACTATAAAGACTCAAATCACTACAATTGAATTTTGTTTAAAGAAACATTTAATGAGAAGTGAATGCAGACCATGTATTTTCGCATTTGAGCTGTCATTTTCAAAGTTGCAATCTAGCTGATTTAGACCTAAAAGGACTCTGAATCCTCACTCAATCTTTAATCAGTGCTAGTGCAGCCTTTGCAGCTCAGTGAGTGAATTCTGGAGGTTCTGATCTTTCACATGAGGCATGACCTGTCCATACGCGAAGAAAACTTTTATGTGTTCTCTATCTGCAGATTCAAATGTGATTGCATCTAAAAAAATACCTATAAAAAGAGCATGACTACACACAGTTCCTTTAATTCAAATGCGGAAATGATGTGTCTGTTTTTCATATCATATCTACATGTAAGATTAGTGCTTTTACTCCTGACATGGAAGTGCAGACAGTACATTTCATCTGACACATGGAAAATTCTTGCGTTGACAACCGTGACATGACCAGGGTGTGTCCACATGAGTTCTGATTCCACACTGTTCTGATTGTCAACCGCCTCGTGTACCTCTGTGCCTCCCCACAACGTCACGGTATTCACAAATTTCACCACACACACACACACACACACACACATACCGGTCTGACACAGCCACATAAGGAAGATGGACAAGTTTTCAAGTCCTCTGTCAGCTTATCATTTTTACGGGCGTGTCCTCTGTCTAAAGAACACCATTTGGGATTTGCAATAGTTACAAAAGAATGGACTAATGATTAAACGCAGTATTTATCTCTGTATCTATTTATCTAACCGACTACGTAAACAAACACGCCCGTTCTACTGGCCTAGTTAAAGTGATTAGGTGCATTATGTAACTTGGGAGAGACACCTTTTTGCCTCCATGAAAACAATATTGCATATATCCTGCATTTATTTAATTACAGGCATTTTAGGCATTTCTATGTTTCTGTGTTTAAGGTCATGATGTATCTGATGAGAATAGAAACAACCCAGTTATTGTGGAAGCAACTGAAAGGGAGTTTAGCTATTTTTATAAAGAGGGAAGTTCAATTCAATTCAACATTCCTCATTAATTAAGACAAATTTCTGTTCTCTGCTGTCTCATAAAACGAGCAAGACACGACAAAGCTGGCATAGGATCTAATGCTACACCATGGGGCATTCTGGGCAAAACAGTAACATCTCCATGGAAACACGCAGGAGGCAGATCCTCAACCAGAAAAGTAGCAGTGTTCTTTTAAGACTTGCTATAGTCCTGATTTAATCCTGGTTAAGTCATGGATTTGCTTTGTTCTGTGTTTAGAGATGATTGTGACATTTTCCCACGAGATGTCGCCAAATATTCCAAAAAATAAATAAATAGAAAACACCAAATTGGTCAGTTTTGAACTTTGCTGATTTATTTGACACATGATTTGACAGAGAGAACATGTTCACTGAAGGTTACAAAACTGTATCGCAGACAAGACACCAGTTAATTTGGCAAAGCTTGAACCAGTCACTTGCTTAAATATTACACTTCAGCCATGTTGAATTACCTTTAAAATAATAAATGCTTAACAGTTAGGCTTCTTCGTAATACTGCATACAATCACTTTTTGCTAATTATTGCACAGTCCACAGATGTTTATTTTGCGATATTCCGAAAGTCGTGGGTTTGTGATCAATGGCGGACGTCTTGACGAACTTCTTCTTCATCGTCCATCTCATCTTCATCGTACTCTCCCATCTCATCTGACGTGGCATCTTGGTACTGCTGATACTCGGAAACCAGATCATTCATGTTGCTCTCAGCTTCGGTAAACTCCATCTCATCCATGCCCTCTCCGGTGTACCAGTGAAGGAAGGCTTTTCGTCGAAACATGGCGGTGAACTGCTCGGAGAGGCGCCTAAACAGCTCCTGGATTGCAGTGCTGTTGCCGATAAACGTGGCGGACATTTTGAGGCCGCGAGGAGGGATGTCGCACACGGCGGTCTTCACGTTATTGGGGATCCACTCCACGAAGTAGCTGCTGTTTTTGTTCTGCACGCTCAACATCTGCTCGTCCACTTCCTTCATGGACATGCGGCCGCGGAAAATGGCTGCCACGGTGAGGTAGCGACCGTGCCGGGGGTCGCAGGCCGCCATCATGTTCTTGGCGTCGAACATCTGCTGGGTGAGCTCGGGCACGGAAAGAGCGCGGTACTGCTGGCTCCCCCTGCTGGTCAGTGGGGCAAAACCGGGCATGAAGAAGTGCAAGCGGGGGAAGGGTACCATGTTGACGGCTAACTTGCGGAGGTCGGCATTGAGTTGCCCGGGGAAACGCAGGCAGGTGGTGACCCCACTCATGGTCGCGGACACCAGGTGGTTCAGATCGCCGTAGGTCGGGGTGGTCAGTTTGAGCGTGCGGAAGCAGATGTCGTACAAAGCTTCATTGTCGATGCTGAAAGTTTCGTCTGTGTTCTCGACCAGCTGGTGCACAGACAGCGTGGCGTTGTAGGGCTCCACCACGGTATCGGACACTTTGGGCGAGGGCATGACGCTGAAGGTGTTCATGATGCGGTCGGGGTACTCCTCGCGGATCTTGCTGATGAGGAGGGTGCCCATGCCGGAACCCGTGCCCCCTCCCAGAGAGTGGGTGAGCTGGAAGCCCTGCAGGCAGTCGCAGTTCTCCGACTCCTTACGAACTACGTCCAGAACCGAGTCCACCAGCTCAGCGCCCTCCGTGTAGTGGCCTTTAGCCCAGTTGTTCCCAGCTCCACTTTGACCTATGAAAACACAAACATCTCAGCTATTCATTTCACTATATCACATTAAAGATGGAACTTGACAAGCACTTAAGCATTTATGATCGGTCTACCTGCTAGCTAGATTGAGTGTGGTTGTGGAGATAAGGTCTGAGTCGATATAACGATTCTCTGATGTATGGAAGCTTAATGGACAAGTGCTACTAGCAAACACTAGAAAGCAATGTGTGCTCAGGAATGTGTGAAAGGATTTATAGCTAAACAGTAACATATGAATCATCACCAGTACAATACAATGAACTCACTTTACCTGCTGTTTATTCTGTTCATTTCCTGTACACTGCATAACCATAGCCATAGGAACTTATTGTACATAATAGTGTTTTAGCCTCATATTTTAATTGTACTTGCTTCTTAACTATATTCATAGTATTTCTGCTCTTCTAGTTAGGTTGATTAGATTTAAGTAAATTTTAAATAGTTTATGTTATTCTTCATTGTATATAGTCTGCTGTTCTTGAACGTTGCAATGCAAAAATTGAATTTTCCCACTGTGGGACAAATAAAGGTTCTCTTCTCTCATAGTCTTTTGTGATTTACATATTATAAAGAAAACTGTTGTAGTTAGTGTGACTGGTTTTAATCGGGAGTGCATTGCTAAGAATAGATGGTGTTGTTTACTGGTTTCACACTCCAGTACCATTATCAAGCATTATACAAATCACTGACATTCTGATATAGATCAAGAGCATACTAAAATGATTCAAGAAAGGTCTGGGTTCAGAGTTAATACCTTTCAAATGGATATCTAGGTTTGACAGTAGTTAATGATAATAGATATTTTCACAGCTCTGTTACAAATCACAGAGGTTCATATTTTGGAGTAGGCTGCAGTTGAAACATGGGTCAAAAATGGGGAAAAATGTCCCCACGGGGACAATAGTGCACCTTAACCTTAACCTTCACCTTAACCCTAACTCACTATTCATCTTTCAAACTAGCAAAGGCACAGACGCATCTTTTGCACACGGCACACTTCTGCTATTAGACACACACAGACACAGACACACTATTAGTCATTGGTACAATAAAGCAAGGGCAAGTATTTTCGTGTGTTTCCTGACATAACGAAAGTCTTCTGTAAGCACTTTCTCTGCTGCGTCTTGTTGGAGATGAGCACTGCAGCAGTCCCTACACAGACTTGGATTTTGCTGAGTCACTGCTGGAGCTGTCTTGGTCTGACACAGCTGTATATGGGTCTGTACACAGACATAGCACTGCAGTTTGTACTACCTATGTGTACATTTACTCTACTCTATTGATCGAGTTTCAGTCATTTCTAGTTTTCAGTGATCAGCTGGGGTTTTTAAAATCAAGAAGTATGTCGCTATACTTATTCATTTCTTAATAACACATGACTCACATGAAGAAAAACACATGAAGTCTAGCGACAAAACTTGATTCATAATCAATAAGAAGTTTATTAAGAATGATTCAGGCTTGGTAACGGTATCCCAACCGAAACTCCTATCACTAACCTCTTTATTACTTACTTAGTAAGCCTGAATCATTCTTAAAAAACAGCTGATTGTACATTATGGATTACATCTAAGTCTGTATTTTAACAATCCTGACTGTTCAGTATTAGTAACAAATTTTAAAGGTCTTATATTACACAAAGATGACTCTTGTGAGCTTTAAGCCACATTGATGAGAATGTCATTACCTCCTCAAAACCATATCTGGAGTTAAGTTTTGTTTCATTCAGGCACGTTTGAGTAATCCATTCTATTAAGTCTATTTACATCTCCAAAGCTCAAAATGCTCTGTTCCACCTTGTGATGTCATGTAGACGTAATTTTTGTTTAAAAAACAGTGGAGCACTTCCTGTTTAACCACATGACATCACAAAGTGGAACAGAGTGTTTTCTGTTTGAGAGAAGAACTCAGCCTAAATATGTAGGACTTGTGTGTTAAACATGTGCAAATGAAACAAAACACAACTCCAGATATGTCTGTGATGAGGAAACATTATAACAGAGTTCAGAAAATAGCCTTATATATGGGGCCTATTATGTTATTTTCAGACCATTCAGCTCTAACGTTTAATGGTGTGTATGTACTGTACTCAACTGCATGTACACTGCTGCAGTACTATTGGATCTGTCACAAGGTACTGTTGACACAAATGAATTCAGCGTGTCTTTCTCCACAAAATGCCTCACTGTGCACTCACCGAATACAAAGTTGTCTGGTCGGAACAGCTGCCCAAACGGACCCGAGCGAACTGAGTCCATGGTCCCAGGCTCCAGGTCCACCAGAATGGCTCGAGGGACGAATTTACTGCCTTTGAACAGAAAAAGAGAGGAGAAGAAATACAGATAGTAAAGACACATGGGCTTCTTATAGTCGTAGTGATTGTAATTAAGGCCCCAGTTTACTGTTGTTATCATCTAGTATTTTGATGGTTTTGGTTTAGGGCTACAACAGAAAAAAAATATTTTACTAGTTGACTTGTTGGCAATTATATTCTCAATTAGTGAGCTAATCGCAATTAAGACACAATTATTTCTATTGTACACTGACATTTTTAAATACATTTTTAACCAGACCAGGTAACATATGGTGACTGAAGGATTATAGAAAGACTAAAATATTTACAAATCATATTGTGAAATGAAAAAATTAAAATACCTTATACTTTTTATGCTGTTTTGGTTTAATAACGCATCTGTATTGGTTGGAAAATGTATTTAGTTTTAGAGTCTGTACAGTATAGATAACAGTTAACAGTGATACTTAAATAAAAATGAATATTTAAGTAATAGTTTAGTCACAAACTTAAACTCTTTGCAGCCTAAGCTTAGACCTGATTAAATTTTGGTTTAGAGCTAGTACTGATTTAAAATGTACTTCCCTACACATTCTGGAGTGCTGTGAAAATGTTTGAAAGCACTGCAGTGGTCTACATTGATTTTGAGGCCATTCATAGCTGGTGCACTCCCCCGACATCGCTCGGTCTTAACCCAGTTCTTCCAGGTACAGCCTCTGCATGGCTGCTGCACTGTTTATTATAGACCGAGTAAAAGTGCTGAGCTGGCAATGTCCAGTCTAACACAGAAATCATCACCTTTTTTTTTTTTTATGTAACCTGTCTTATATTGTTAACATGCAAAAAACATCCAGCTGCGGGCAATGTCATTATTATTACTTATTCATTTAGAAAAGATTTAACCTAAGTTTGGGTTTTTCACAAGTCATATTCTTGCTATGTGTCTTTAAAGAAGACATATCATGCTTTTGTTTACTATAATTTATATTTTGGACATTTTAAATTGACTTAACTTAATTAAAGAAACAAGTCTGCTGACGTCTGGGTTAAAAAATTGTAGATCCCAAGGAGGCATTATCAGCCAATTCCTGCCTGCCCCTTCACAGTAAGTCACTGTAACGTCATCACAACAAAGTGACCACATGCTGCCGGCCCCTCCTATGGCTAACTGCAGATCACGGTAACAGTGAAAAGGGTGGGTAGACTGGAACAATGACATCATGAATAGAGGAGAATAAAGATTATTCAAAGATGCACAGACTATTCTAAATACAAATTTGAGTGTATAAATAACAACTGATCTGCTTATTATTTAAAGGACCTATATTACTCTATGTTATAATGTTGTCATGAAAACAGACCTGGAGTTGTGTTTTAGACCGTTGTGTTGTAGACAGATTAATAATAAAGCGTTACTCAGATGTGTGTGAATGAAACAAAACACAACTCTGGGAATGTTTTTGATCAGATAACAACATTCTAACATGGTTTAAAGCTCAAGAGGATCACTTGTGCATAATATAGGATCGTTAAGTGTAGGTAAACATGTGCTCTTTACAAGTGATAATGACAGTGCCCCATTATTTACACTTTAAATGACCAGCAGCAGTAGAGACACCCATTGTCTACTCAGCAAGCGATTCAAGTATGGAGTAAGAAAGCTGTCAAAAATATTTGTGCGCATAAAATAGAAATCCGTGCGTATTTGGGAAATCCGTGCATATTTGGCTGTAGTTGCGCATAAAATAAATATTTGTAAACTCTCAAATGAGTCCAGTCGTACATAAAATATATTGTGTGTATTTTATCCATCAGAATACGAATTGAAAAATTACGACGTCATGAATTACAATCACGAAATGAAAATTTACGATTACGCTTTCATCAGTACGAATACGAATTCACAGACGGAACTTTACTGTCAAAAATGCGTCATCACTTCACAGACATTATTCATCGAGCAGAAGAAACATCGATCAAGACTGCGCATGCTCAAGTTTGTAGCAGAGGGTAAAAACAGAGTAATAGCACAAGAAGCTACAACAGCGACCAACAAGTGGGTTAATTAAAATCTATTGTAAAAATGTCTTGAATTCGGGAACCGAACGCTGCTGTATAATATTGTGTAGAAACACCTCCTTTGCACGGGAAATTGCACCTATATGTTAGATAACATAGTGGAGCCAGTTGGCTAACATCCGACGTAACTTTATCCCAGGGCTAATTAGCAAATATCAGGTTCTCTGTATGTTTAGATTAAAACATTCACGGCTCCAGCCACAGCGAGCATCAGTCAGTCGCTGCATTTCTCGCATGAAATGCCACCAAATGTTCCTCGGGATGCTGAAATGTCCCAGTTTACACCAAACACTACCAAACTGTCCTGGTTACAGACGTCACAGCTAATGAAATGTTACACATTACAGTTTAATGCAGCTTCCAGCAACAATTAATGTTCGTGTTTACAGGCAACACCTTGGTATGTTTACAGTATTTACCGGGAAGTTTAACGTCACCGTGACGTGGATGGATTTGCTAATTATAACCCATTATAACTCATGTATAACCCATTGTCTGAAATGCAGCTGAAGTTAAGACTGACTGATGCTCGCTGTGGCTGTAGTCGTGAATGTTTTAATCTAAACATACAGAGAACCTGATATTTGCTAATTAGCCCTGGGATAACGTTACGTCGGATGTTAGCCAACTGGCTACCACTATGTTATCTAACATATAGGTGCAATTTCCCGTGCAAAGGAGGTGTTTCTACACAATATTATACAGCAGCGTTCGGTTCCCGAATTCAAGACATTTTTTCAATAGATTTTAATTAACACAATTGTTGGTCGCTGTTGTAGCTTCTTGTGCCATTACTGTTTTTACCCTCTGCTACAAACCTGAGCATGCGCAGTCTTGATCTTGATCGATGTTTCTTCTGCTCGATGAATAATGTCTGTGAAGTGATGACGCATTTTTGACAGTAAAGTTCCGTCTGTGAATTCGTATTCGTACTGATGAAAGCGTAATCGTAAATTTTCATTTCGTGATTGTAATTCATGACGTCGTAATTTTTCAATTCGTATTCTGATGGATAAAATACACACAATATATTTTATGTACGACTGGACTCATTTGAGAGTTTACAAATATTTATTTTATGCGCAACTACAGCCAAATATGCACGGATTTCCCAAATACGCACGGATTTCTATTTTATGCGCACGAATATTTTTGACAGCTTTCTTACTCCATATTAAAGCACTTTGTATGACCATCCTTTTGTGCACAGCCAACGTAATACAAGATACGTTTACTATGACCTTCATCATGCCACGCCATTAAAGTCAGACAGTGAGGTGACGCGTTGGTGGTGGGGTGAGGTGAAGAAGGCTGAGACTGCAGGTACCTGTGCTCCCTATAGACACACACAAGAGGAGACAGATACAGAGCAGTTAGAGCACCTTCCCTGTCCTCATTTCTCCTTTAGGCCAATGAGAAGGCCTGTAGGTTAAACTTAATGGCGTGAGAGTAGCAAATACAGTAGCATTTGGACGAGTTTGGGTCATGCAAAGGATGTGAGCAGCCACGGAGGCAATGGAATATTAGAAATAAAAAATACAAACCGGAAGCTTCATTGTAGTACACGCTGATCCTCTCTAGCTGCAATTCACTGTCACCTTGATAGCTGCCGGTGGGGTCTATCCCATGTTCGTCACTTATCACCTCCCAGAACTAAAAGATAAGATAAAGTGAAGTTAAAAGTGAAGTTAAAAGTCGTTTATTTCGTGTAATATAGCTCACGATTAGCAAAAGGACACGTTTAATCGTATTGCGTAATTGCTTCATTACGCATTTCTTTTACGCATCAAAAAGGGTATGTCTGCATAACTTGCCGCGCCCTAAACCTGGCTAAAGTTTACAAAAACATATATTTCGAAAGAGTTAGTTTCAAGTGGCGTAATAGCATATGTTAAGATATCTTTAATCTCAATTTTACGCATGGTATTATTAATTAACCGTGCCACTACCTTTGCGCCAATCTGATTCCCGCATTGCCCGGCCTGGATGTGCACGATTTCCCTCATGGTGGAGTTGTTGTTGTAACAGACTAGCTTTCTTGTGTCTTCACCGCCGAGTCAACGTGCTTCTGCGATGTTATGTCTCGGGAACAGCTACGTTTCATTGGCGTAGGGTCGGTGAGATAGCCCAAGTATAACGCCTCGCTGTGGTCAGATGACGTTGCAGCATCTCAACATCCCCGGTCCGTTCTTAGCCAATAGGAGTGCTCCGGTTTGATGCAGTGGTCCACAGAATCATGCAGTCTCATCATCTCTCCTCCACCCTGCCTGCTGCATGACCTCACCCAGGATGGCGACAAAAAAGACAAATTACGCAGCTTTTCTCTTAAGTCCGGAAAGAGGTACGTCTGTCTGTAAATTCCAACCGTTTGAGCAAACTGTCAAGAAAAATAAAGCATTTGCAAGCCGTCGTTGAGCATGAATAGTGCTGACCAAACAAACTTGTCTTGTCCTGTTTCATGAGCACCAGAGTTATTGGGGGTGTGGAAAAAAGGGTTAGGGTCTCGAGTAAAATGGACAGGATTGCAGTTTCTAAGAATTGTTTTTCCTGTAAAAAAAAAAAAAAAAAAAGGGGAAAAAAAACACTAGTGGAACAGCACAGGAATACTCTATAGATGTGTTTATTTAAGGATTGTCATTAGTTTCTCCAGATAACAAATATTACTTTTTCTGGGGTTCACTCTCAATTAATTATGGATTTTTAAGCCTCATTTCAATCTATCTGACAATCTATAGCACAGCATGTTCAAGTTCAATCATAAAATCACATATAAACCACCTATATCAATTATCTAGTATAATATATCCACTTATTGCGATATCAGTGAAGGGATAAAGACATGCTTTGTCACTGAGCTGCAAAGGCTGCACTAGCACTGCAGGAGCGGGGTGTAGGTTGTGAGGATTCGGATCATGGAGGCATTCTATGTTCAAACTGAAAAAATCTGGACTCTCACCCAATAAGAGACTCATGTGAGGCTTTCTGCTTTCTGATTGGATAATCGTTTTGGAAAGCAAAACACCAAATTAAAACAATCATGTCTAATTTCTTTTTTGCTGATTCATTCTTTTTCGCTCTCTCTCTCTCTCTCTTTTTTTTCTCTTATAAAAGAAAAAAGAGAGAGAAAAAGAATAAATCTGCATTATGATTACCATTAAAAGCAATATTTGATTTGAACATATTGACCTTGAATATGGGGACATAGTTAGGGCGTTTTTATGGATTTTAATATTTAAAAAAAATACTACATACAATTTTGTGACACTAAAGTTGTTTTGATTGATTAATGTTTTGTCATAATCGGTTTACTGACCTTAAATATCATCATGGTTTTGACTTATTCAAAACAATATTGTGTCGATTACTCTGCTTAAACTGTAGCATGAATAGCAATGATTATGCATTAAGACAATGAATAACATGCAGAATCCACAGCTGATCAATAAATAGTGGTTTATTTTAACAACATGTATGGCTTATATACAAGTGCATTATGCATGTTAAAATAAAATAAAAACATGGAACCAATCATTCTGGAATTACAAATGGTACAATCAATGATTTTTACATTCATTCAAGTCTCCCGTGGAGAGTAGTACGGTTAAAAAGAAGCAAACCTGAAATGTGCGCACTGGGGATTCCAAAACACCACCTTTAAGCCCCATTCACACAAAGGTCCCAGTAAATTGATGGGTCCAAAATGCCAGAACACTCAGCGGCGCCCCCTATTCACACATGCACCAGTCCCAGAACATTACCGGGTCTGTTCTGTTCATACTGAACCTTTAGCATTGTGTAACTTTTTGGTTGAAGATTGGTCACCCCCTTGTTTCTATGGAGATAAGATAAGAATGCTCTACCTGGAATGTTCCACAGTATAACATCAAGCAGCTCTACTTTTATTAAATTACAGGTGGTATAGCTCAAAAACAACATTCTGACTGTGAGCGGGGTTGCCTCTCCACAGATCCGAACTGTAACTTGATCTAGTTTGGTATCTATGAAGAAAGAATAGTTTAATGGAACACTGTGAAACATTCCAGACAAAGCAATAACATCTGCATGGAAACAAATATTTGACTGATGATCGGCCAGAAATGTTACACGGTGCAACTTTAAAATAAACGTAAAGGGAACGTCGCCACTAGTGTAACCAGGAAATCAAGCTGGTAAACAAGAGAACTATGTACTTAACTTAGGCAACCAAGTGAGTGTCCTGGCAATTGTCTGGGTTTATTCACACATAAACAGTCCCTGAATATTCCCAGAAATTTACCCAGAAAATTGCCAAATCAAAAATGCAGGAAAATCTGTTCTGGCTTTGTTCACACATGATTCTGTTCTGGCAAAATGCAGGTAAATTCCCAGGTCAGGCTGCATGTGTGAATGGGGCTTATTATAAGAGACCACCAAGCTCTTTCCAGTCAACAATAGTTACTGTATTTACACATTCCAAAACCAGTGTATTCTTTCCCCCAACAGTTCATAGGAGCTTGTCAACGCTGGTGTCAACATTGCTTAACATTTTGAATTTAATTGAAACCATATGCTTACTAAGGTAACTTTTCCCAGCCACCCTTACATTACAGCTGCACGGGCGCTGGTTGTCTTTGTGCTGTTAAAATCTTCATACTGTTTTTGCATGAGGTTTTTGGTGACTTTTTTGTTTAGTTTACACATTAAGACGAATATCAACATTCACAAACAACACACAGTTTGACTAATGCAAAGCTACTGACCACCGCAGTAAAATTTCTCTTTTCCAAGATTCTGCTAAAAATCCAGTGTCAAAACCCTGTTCCTGAAGTAGATTAAAATATGAATGTTCTAAAATGTTTTAAAATATTGATCCAGTTTCCCTTTTTTGCTGTCCAGACAAACAGATCTGACATCACATCATCGCAGGGCATTTTTGTGCTTTGTGGCGTATAGCAGCATAGCATATACACGGATCAAGCGAAATATTATGACCACGTTGTCGATAGGAACTACATGAGTCAACCTTAAAGGGGCCTGTAGATGATTTCAAACCCGCCCACTTAGTCCTTACTCTCCCGATATTGCACCTTGACCCAGAAACAACTGTGTAGGACAGTATCATGCATTTGTTTCCTCCTAGTTTTCCCATCTCAGTCTATGATTTACTTATTTGATACTCGAAAATATACTTGAAAATGCAGCAAGAATCAGATGTCTAGATAATCTCAGTTTGTTTTCCATGATTCTTAGTAACAATGTGCCTGATTGGATGAAGAGGTGACCCTGTCAGTAACTTCTGGATAAGATATGACTGAAGAAAATGCAATGTAAAATAAAATGAATAGATGATATTTTAAAGTCAGATTTTTTTTTTGTTATTTAGCACCTTTTACCACACAATGCATGATGTAAAGTATCTTTGCGATTCCAAAATTAAAATCAGGTACAGGCCCCTTAACTCCAAATATGCAGTACCTAATCATACCGAGTCATACTTGTGATACAAAAGAACACACTATCACTTCCTCAGTGATCATTATATTATTATAAACTTGATCCGTGTATATAGATGAAACACATGTGGTTGAATATGGAAGTTTGCTGATTAAGTATTCTAGTTTTTAGGCAAGGTTCAGTTGCTAAAAGTAGCATATGTCAGTGCATAGCTGACTTGAGTAAAACCAGTTACTTGAATAAAGCACCTGCTGAGTACCATAACAATAATAAGTGTGTTAATTAAAAATATACGCTAAAAACTCCCTGGATTAAATGACGTACTATGCAACGCACTATGAAAAGTTGTGTATCACATTTGAAATGACAAGACAGTCCGTTATTGGCTTCATAAATGTACAGTACAGCGTTATTATTACGTATTATCAGAATCAATGAGAATTTCTGTAAACAGTTGCTTCTCACTACAAGTCAAGACACAAGTTATGTACCAAAATGTTGCATGTACATCAAATATCATTGGCCTTCCTTATGCATTTTGAATCACCACTTATACATTATTTACGATACCTTACCACGTTATGATTTGGTTAGTATGTAGATGGTTTTGCAATGTTGAGATCACATCTTGTCGACTAAAATTACTTCAATTTGTATCGCTGACACTATCACCATTATGCTCATGAATTTGACCCCAATGCAAAGAAAATGTTGGAATTCAAATGAAGAGCTACAAATACTGAAAGTAATGCATGTAAGGACACATCAAAGGTGAGTTTTAAAATACTGAAATATGTATGAACTTAATTGGTGGCTAATTCATTGCGTCAACATATACAATAATAAAAAATAAATCATTTAGTAAGCTTGAAATTGCTCCTTCAGTTTTATAAACAGGGGCCATTCCATTGTCGGTTTATAGTTAATGTTATGGCAAGGGGAAAAAAATGATCAAAACAAGGAAATACTGAATCTAGTTCCTTACTGTAACAAACTGATTTTTGGCACTATTTCTACATGTACAATTTTGGTCAGCATAGTCTCTTTTTTTGGCATTGCATGAAGTAAATTCGATTGTTTACCTTTGTACTGTTAGAAATACTCAGACATTCAGAAGGTAAGGCAATATACACAAACGTTGGTTAAAAATGTACCGCTGACTAGAATTCTCTTTGCATGTGATCCCCCCAGTCCCACACGACGTGATTGTGGCTATTGTAGATTTTTAAAATGACAGATATCACCATTGGTCAAAGTATAGTTTAAAGGCTGGTGATTTCAAATGACTTATTCCAAAAATAAACTCCCAGCCTCTGGCACTCTCATTTGCAAGTCCCAAAACGCTCATTTGGTCTTCCACAAAAGTTTAAGTAATTCCTAAAACGAGCAGTGTTGGTAAGTAATATACTCTTTGAAGTCTTACTCAAAAGTGTCACTTGGTATAACAGTAAATGTACACAGGTTTGTCTTATAATTAAATCTGGGAACATAAAATATCCATGGTCAATAAACCCAGAACATGGGGCATACATACTGTCTCAACCTAGGGTATCAGAGAGCATCGAGCACAGTCTATTCAAGGACTTCAACTACCTGTTATGAGCAACATTTTGAGGACTTTCCACTTATTTCACTTCCAATATTTTGTTTTAAATTGTCGGTCGCTATGGCAACAATCCTAATTTTTCATTATTCTTATTTATAGCACCAGTGAGCATCAAATATTTGACGTTTTGAATTTTAAAGGTTCAGATGTAAGACTTTTCCTAGTACAGCGTTTAATACCAGACCAAAAACATTATAAAAGTGATCAAATATTTCTGGCTAGTAAATTTAAACACTTTTTAAAGACATACCATGTCACTTTTGTGGTGGAGAACCTGCCGCGCGATTGTCTCCACAGTAATATGATTGCTTTGTCTAGAATAATCCAGAGTATGTATTAAAACTAATCCATCTGGCACTTATCCAATTCTGTGTTTTTATTGGAGAACTTTCATTCTTACTGTGAGTAGGCTCGCCTCTCCGCCGATCTGTAACTTGGCCTGGTCTCCATTTTATTTACTCCACAATAGAGAAGATTAATGCCATACTCTGGAATATTTTAATCTAAGTAGAGCAATAATATCTGTGGGAACAAGCATGTAGTTGGCCCTGCATCAGAAAAGTTTTAATATATCTCACCTCTCAGATTTCCTAAACTTCCTCGTAATTATGTTAAGTAGCCTAAACAATACAACAATATCAAAGTACAATACACACCAACACTCGTTTATAAGAATTCTAGATCAAACCTGTCTCCACGGTCATTCATTGGCTGAAGGAATGGGCACATTAAGAAACATACAGCAGATTTCTAAGACTCCTCAACATCAAAACAGTCTTATGTGTTTTAAGTGCCTGCCAGTTTATGCTCCTCTTTGCTTTTTTGTTATTTTGTGTGGCATGGTTTTAGTCTCCCAAGTCCCCAAAACACAAAGCATCATTGTGCAACCAAACACTAGATCAAGAAGGTGACACCCCGGCCACAATGTTGCTTTCTGTACTGGCACTGTCCCGTATTGAACGTACACCAGAGTCTATGGGGGAGGAGACGGTGCAGTCCATTTCAAAGTAAGAAGGGTTTGCCTGTGTGGAATCCGTGAGGGGAGGAGGGAGAAGATCTAAAGAGGCGGTTGACTCGGGCTCGGCCTGAACAATGTCTGTACCGTTTTGGGTTGTTGTTTCTAGCATAGGGGAAGAGTTCACAATGTCTGTAACTGGGAGGATGGGGCCAGGGTGTTCAAGCGGGGGCGGGGGAGTGAATGAGTTTATTAGCGTTTTTTGGTCAGTGGGAGGAAGAAGAGGAAGAGGAGGTGAAGGGGGCACTTCTGGGGAAATTACATCATTAACGCAAGAAGAGCTGGGGTCTTCTTCTTGAGAAATGGCTAAAGTGGACTCCCCAGTTGAGGATTGATCTATTATTTCTAAATGTATGTCTGGAATGTTAACGGTAGTGGTTATATTTTCAGAGTCTTTTGGGGCATCGCTGTCATGCATAGTAGGACCGGGAGAGCTATCCGAAGGTGCGGGCGCCGGCGCAGTTTCGTCTGTCGGCGCAGGTTCGGATTTCAGTGCAATTTCGCCATCTTGAGCCAGTTCCGGTGACTCTAGCGTGAAAGTGGGTGGGGGTTCGATGACAGGTGTGGTGCAGATCAGCGAGCGAGGAGGCACGGGCGACGAAGAGGAGGGCTCTTGCGAGGACGAGGGTTGCGTTTCCGGTTCCTTGCTTGGAGAAAAGCTAGTTTCGCTGACTTCAGGAAGATCGGAGTGCGCTTGTGTCCCCAGGGAATGCAAGACTATAGTGGGGGGCTCCTCTGCACTGGCTAAAAGAGGGTCTGTAACGTGAGATGTTTTGTGCAGAGGAGTGGAAGACAATAAATGCTCTTTGCTAGCGTGAATTACCGCGTCTTTACCCATTGCAATAGGCGTGGACAAAGAGGAAATAGAATGCCCGTTGGGGTCTTTCTTAAGCTCAGATATACTCGGATGCACTTCCATGAAAACGGGCACTTCGGCAGTCAAATCCACAGCCGACGACGCAGTGGAGTCCATGGTGGAGACGACGGTGGCGGCGGCTTCGTGCAGAGGCGTGTCCCCCACACCGACCCGGGTGTAGTCCCTGCTGCTCTCGGCCTGGCCCAGCAGGAGGCGCTGTTCCCCGGGTTTGCGCGGGTGGAGGAGAGGCTGCCTGGTGTAGCTCTCGCCGTCAGCCAGGGTCTCCGGGAGGGGCTGGTAGCGCGTTTCCGGTAGCAACAGAATACAGATGATGCAGATGAGCGTGCAGCAGGCGAAGATGATGTGGTGGAGGAAATAGCCCTTTTGGTTGTGCAGTTCCATGATGGGGGCGGTGAGCATGCCGAAGCCAGCGCTCGCAAGGACCAAACCGAGACCACCACCCCTAGAGGAAAACAAATCAATGTCAGTTACAGTTATAAACAAATATTATAGCTAAGCCACCAGTAAATCATCTGTTTCTGCGTTATAATCATTTAGTTTAATTAAAGGCAAAATGCATCCAATTATACTGTTTCAACACAACATCTTGAAACCATCAGAAAACTGGGAAAGATCTCTCAGGCTTCTTGTCATACCCCTGTCATTTAAGCACATAGCACCAGGGAGTGCTGCACTACAAACAAAGGCACTCCCTTTTCCTGCAGTCCTGTGAGTTATAACCCTCTTTCACCACCAGATGGCAGCATGTGTACAGGCAATTTTTACATAATTACAGATAGGGAGTTTTCACCACGCTAGGCCTTGTATTCTCTAGGGACACAGCCTTCATACATGCTTTGACAGCAGGATTGTAATAGTCATGAAACATCTGTGATTTCTTACCATGGTTTAACAAGAGGTGGAGCTGCTAAAGTGTCTGTAAGAATGTTGGAATGTTATGATGTAATGGGTTTGGTATATAAATGTTTCACTGTAGTGTCTGGTATCATATGAAGTGCAATTAAATAACACAAGAGTACCTCAAGATGTGAAACTTAACACTTGCCATAACATTTTCTCATACATGTGAATTTCTTTGGTTGTTTATATGAAGAATAAGCCACATACATTGTTTCCTATGTGGGATTTTAATATATTAAAACATTATCCGTCTCTGTCTATATGATTTTGGTATGACATCACCTTGCATAAAGCACTACTTTACTTCTAACTTGCTTTAGAACAAAAGTATTGCAGTAAGTACACATAATGCATTCTTTTATGCCATTCAGGTACTAACTGTTTCGGGTGATTTAACAGCTTTTTATGGCAGATGCCCTTCCTGTCACATTCAGCCATATTGCATACCGGCTGCGCGCTTACATAAAAGTTTTTATTTGTTTAGGAACTTTTAACAGTTATCTGAGCGAAGATTTTTGACAAGTTATAAATAGAATACATTTACAACAATAAGAAACATTTATTTATTCAAGTTGTCCTTAAAGCTACAATCTGTTAGCCTGATTCATCAGCCGGTTTCATTTCGTGGAAATCGTCTGACCTCGCAGCATTAGGATTCATTCGCTCGACGGTAGGCAGGCACTTTTTTTATTTAACCAATCGCTGCTATTTGGTCGTGATGTATGTAATGCACCAAATCCCTTAGGAAAAAGGGCAATAACGTCTTTCCCCTTGATAAAATTCACCAAACATTCTCTTTGTTTTGCGGCTTTAAATCCTTGATCTCGGGAATTGTTGCCAACACAAAATGTATGGCTTTGTCTACATCCATCTCGACCGCTTTGTTTACTGTTGTGCTGTACCACAAAAGGGACCCAGACAGGCGCTTGAGTTTGACGTCATGGCTTCACGGCTCTTCACTGATTGGCCGGTGCGTAGTCTACAACTTCCGGGGTTCTTGCAAACCGTGTAGTGTATTCCGGTTCCTGACCTTGTCGCTCGATAGAAATTAAATTGAGTGGAGGGACTAGGTGGCACCAGCCTGGCTAACAATCTGTAACGTTATTTGATTTTTCTTTAATAGTAGATGCCTCATCTGACCCAAATTTTATACAAGTTACTTAAACTACAATGCTTTTAATGTACATAACTGTTCATAATTTGTCCGACTTGGTAACTAAAACCCAGAAACTCCAATCCGAGCTGCAAGGACACATGGAACGCAGCTTTAATCTCCCTGCCTGTTGTGTTTTATTGAGCCTGTCCATGTCTCTATGAATGAAGGGCATACTACATCCACTTAAGCACAATCCAATTTCCCCTCCCTCTCCCCCGCCCTGAGAGCCCACGGAGCGATACCTGATGACAGTGGGGGTGATTTCGGCGCAGAAGAAGATGCTCAGGTTGCTGACGGCGTGGGACGAGAACATGCCGATGATGGAGAAGGCGATGGAGAAGTTCTTGTTCAGCGTACCCGAGCTATCTGCAGACACAGCACTGGTAATGTTAGCAGGGCAGTTAGCATTACATTAGCATTAAACCCTGAATAGCACTGTGACAAGCATTATTTCTAATCTATATCAAATTTACAGAATGTACAAAGAACACTGAAATAGTAACTCCAAGGAATGCTTAGGTAATACAAATTTTGATACCACAAAAAACAAAACAAAGAAAACCAAAACAATAGAAGTATAGAATTGTCATAGTCTTATAAACTGATTCATCAGTCGGTTTCGCTTCATAGAAACCATCTCACCTTAGGTGGGTAGGTGGGTTCTTTTTTCATTTAACCAATTGCTGCTATTTGGTAGTCACGTATGTAATGTGCCGCTAACGGGCCTAACTGGTATATTAAGCTTTTCCCAGATCCTTCCTACAGGAAGAAGAGCAATAACGTCTTTCCCCTTGATGAAATTCACCAAACATTCTCTTTGTTCTGGGTTTAAATCCTTGATCTCGGGAATCGCTGACAACACAGAATGCATAGCCCTTTGCTGATTGGCTGGTGCCCAAACTTGAACTTCAGAGGTTTTTGCGAACTGTCTGGTCAATATATTCTGATTCCTGATCTAATCGCTGGAGAGAATTGAAATTGAGTGGAGGCACTAGGTGGCGCCAGCCTGGCTAGTAGTCTTAATATTTATCAAGACAATTTTTGAAAATATTCAGAAAAGGCACAATTTAGAATTTTGTCCCAATTAAAAAAAAATTATTTTATTATTATAATTTTTTTGTATCTATACAATATTCTTTTGTATTTATCATTATTATTTTTTTTCCAGAATCCTGATATTTGAAGATGTAGACTGACTGATTGTCCAAAAGTGCGAAAATCAATACTGTTTGTTGTTGTTGTTTTTTTTCAGCTCTTTTTACTGTATTTATTATTATAACTGATATACAGGTTTAGGTTTAAACATCACAAATAGAAACATGAAACTATATGGAGTACACATATTTTAAAAAGAGAGAGGTCAGCAATACAACTTCTGCCTTGCTTTGAGATACTGTGCACTATGCGCTTCCTCATCAAGTATTGCTACATTTGCATGACTGAATAATGCCATTACTGCTTTCCCTTTCCCTGTAATAGGATGATTTAAAGGTGCACTATGAAACTTTTTTGTTGAAGGCTTTGCCAGTTACCTGCTGGTTTACATAAATATGTTGTTGCTCAGTATAGCATTAATTTATCCAGATTGCATTTATTTATTGCACATTACTGCTCCATTCTTACTGGGACCCTCCCCAGATCTGACCTATAGCTTGACTTAGTTGCGTCACTAGCAAGTCTTCATAGAAACACATATGTTTAAAGCCGGAACATTCCAAACAAAGCCTGCAGCATCTCTCGGGGCGAGAAAAGTTAAAAAGTCTGCATTCAAAACTGATCACTCAGAGTAGATCAGGTCCTCTTCCCACAGTGGGATTAGTGAGAGGGAAATAAAGAGTCTGATAAACATTGGAAGGAGGCCAGATGTGAAATTCTCTTCTCAAAGCGACTCACCCCGTTTAACACGAAGGAGATAAATAAGTAAAAGCTAACTGTAAATACATCTAGAGCTCTGCAAGGCTTGTGAGGCCAAATGAAATACTGCAATCCAAGTCAAATCTTGCCTGCAAAGCAAACTAGTCCAGAGAGTCGATTTTTGCATGTATATGGACAAAATCTGTCTCTATAATGATGTGTATAATGGATTAGGATGCTTGGAATGCATAAGGTAAGTGAGGAATAACTTTGGACCACTACAAAATGAACTATAGTAGTACAAGTGTTATCAAATATGAAAAAAAAAACAAATGCAAAAAATAGAAGTAGTTATTCTTACCAATATTCAAATGGCCACTGTATTTCCCAAGCACTGTGTGAAAACAGAAGAAGTATTAGTTATACAGTAACACCCAGATCTCTGTTTCCAAAATATCTCCTGCCCCACACACTCAGCATTAATGCAAATGATGTTTTTCCATGACTAAGACAAGCTGGACCAAACTGGGGCACAAAGTAGAACTACTGAATACAAGTAAAAATACAAATATAAAATACAATATGAATAAAAAGGGCATTCAGTAAAGGGCCTATATTACACTATTTTGTGATTTATATTATAATGTTTTTCTTCACCAAAAACATACCCAAAGTTGTGTTTTGTTTCATTCATACATGTTTAACACACAAACCCTGTATATTGAGTTCTTATCTCAAACAGAACACACCACTTTGTGATGTTGTGTGGTGAAATTGCCAATATCTACTGGACTAAAGATAAAGGGTAGCTGTTAACTTGAAAACTACCACTTCATCACATCACAAGGTGGAACAGACCATTCTGAGCTTTTGATATGTAGACAGACTAATGATGCAGCTTTACTCAAACATGTGTGAATAAACAAAACCCAATTCCAGGTATGTTTTTTGATGAGGTTACATTCTAAAATGCCTTAAAGAGCTGATTTTGTGTAATATAGAACCTTTAAAAGCAGGTAAATAAAATAGAGTTAAAAAACTGACAAAAATAAACATAATCTTAAACTGAAAGGATACAAATACAATGAGCAATGGGAAAAGTAGAATGCATTCATAAATGACACCAGCAAAACAACATAGTACATTAAAATGTTATTACCTAATGCATGTTTAAAAGAACCTGTGACTCCAGACTTACATTGTATTTGATTTATATTGTTTTTTTGTATGTTTTGAAATGTTACCTAAAACTAATAAAAACAAAGTAACAAAAAAAACAAAACAAAAAACAGACTAAAATAGACCAAGTGGCTAAGAGTTAAACTTTAAGTAACATTCATTTGTCATTGACTAAACCTCGGCTCGTGTACAGAGAGTTTTGGAACATATTGACTAAAACAGCTGTTTGCGAGCATGTCTGACCACACAATTAACCCCACGCACTATCTCCTGTCAGCGCTATTCATTTACAGAGGGCATTTCAGGAACTCTTATTCCAATAGGACTGGTCTCATTCACATTCTAGAGTGTGATGATGTCCTGACCTCAAATGGAGGGCAAGGGCCTAAGTAACTCTATGGAAGACTTACTGTTCGTGAAAGAAATATTCAAAATAGAAAACCACAAATGCTGAACCTCATCATTATGTGTTAAGGATTAGGTCCACAAACCTGCAATATTAATCTCAAATCCATTCAACTGACAACAATGGTGCCTTTAGACTGTATTTAATATCTCTGTAATTACCGGGCAAAAATTAATAACCATAAACCAGGTCAACATATTTGCAATCAGTTCAACTGTTTAAAAATCCACCATAGAATTCTGACCTGTCCTCCAGCTCAGACCTTAGCTAGTAGCATGACTTTTATTTCAAATGAATACTAACAAAGTATTTTAAGATAGATAAAAGCTGCAAGGTTAGAGCAGTACTGAATACTGTCTGGTCAAGTTTTTCTTCCAGAATATATAAATAACATTTGACAGGGCTGCAGAAAAATTGCCAAGAGAGAAAGCACCCACGATAAATACTGACCCCCCAATAGCATTGTACTGTATTGAACAAATAAGTCGTTATATTAATTATGGTGACAGGCCCAGGCAGAGGGCAAAAATAGATGACCAGAAGTCATGAATATTTGAATTTCAAAAGAATATGCAAAAAAAAGCATTTGTACAATGTGCCACTGTAGTGCATCTAACCATTTAGGATCGCTCTACAACAAAAGCTACCACACACACTTTCTGGCAGCCTCGGCCAAGATATAGGATTATGACACAACATGGAGTTTGAGTTGGTATTGATTTTTCCATCTATCTCACTGTTCCTATCACCAAGTTTCCAAACAAACTGATGACATTTAGTTAATGCTACAGTTAAAAGGCTGTAACAATGCCACTTATACTGTTATACTGTCTAAAGTGCCCCATTCTCTTCTGCTAACATAATCTATCAAGCCCAAAGCTCAGACCGATTATGCAACAGCGGTCTCTTTTATTGTGATGTATAGCCAAAGAGTGTCTAATAGCACATAGTATATATAGTGTGTACTCACAGTTGAGCAGGCCAAGCTGGAGCAGAGAAGCCAGAGCCGTGATGATCATAAACATCAGCAGACCTCCTCTCCTGCCCATCAGACCCACCGCCGGGCACAGGGCCATGCACGAGGCCACAGCGATGCCAGCCATTGTGTAGTAGTCTGCATAGAAGTTATGGAACATGGTGGTCTCCTGGGCCTCGGGGTCCATCATGCTGCGGGCGAAGCAGTGGTGGATGCCATACCCGGTTAATCTGCAACGAAGAAGTACATAATGGTGTTCATTGCATTGTTTCACATGACATCACAACATTCTATTGGTAGTTTTCAGATTTTAGTATATGATGATGGCATACTCGCAGATTGGGGGCAATAAGGGCCAGTTTTAACTATTAATTACATTGTATTTAACCATGAAATGATGAGAGGTACAGGACTACACTCATGCCATACTCCATACAACTTTACAACAACTCACCATTCACCATTATGTAACAGATAACCCTATGTCTTATCTTTGCACCGTTTTCCTTACAACCTCTTGTAAATAGTTGAGATACTTTTAGTACTTATTATTTATTTTTACTTTAACTTGTACGTATACAGTTATATAATTATGTCTTATTTGTCTGAGTCTAAGTCTATTTACCCAAAAAGTAAATTCACAAATACTGAACCTGGTATTTTCAATTACTGACTAAACCCAAGAACTCCCTGTATTAAAGCATAATTTTGGATTTTAACAATATTAATTTTGGCTGCCGTCCCATCTGTATTAATTAATTTTGACCTACTGAATGTCAAATAAAACCGATAGGCCAATAATATTTCATGCAGCTGGGGGGCTGTTAAAAGCAATATTATTAAAACATAGATTTGTGTTGTAATAGAGGGAGTTATATGGTGTAGTCATTAAAAGGAATGATCAGGTTCACTTTTTAAAATTTATTATTTAGAAATTCCTTATAAAAGTACAATGTAATTAATACAAAAATTTGTATGTATGACGTCATCACATACAATAAAATACATACAGTGGCCCAAGATAATGCATTAATAACAAGGCATGAGTCTGCTTTGTTTTTCCTATTTCTGGGTTAATGTTGCTTGTTTACGCAATCGTACCTCAGACTTTCAGGTTGGTGTTCAAGTGCTCTACATCACTGCCTGACTTGAACTGAACTTGTAATGTGATGTTATATCAATACATGACAGTAAGTGAGGTCTTGTCTAACCTTGATATATTGAATAATTCACAATGGCGCATCTTTTTAGTACTTAAATTGATTGAATATATTATATGGTTAGAACGTCAATAAAAATTAATGCACTTGTTTGCTATCATAAAAAACATTGCTTGTTTATAGATTCTAAAATGTGGGGAAAATATATCTCAAAAGACAGTTATATATTTTCATAAATCATCTAATATAAAATTCACAAAAGTTCATGCACTCATTACATTACATTAAAATTAATGTAATGAAAGGGATGAAAAGTTCTTTTGGCTAATTCTGGAGTTGTACTGATGTTTAATTATGTGTTTCATTGCACTGTCCCCTATCAGATAATTCAATCTAATCTCTCTAACCCTTTCATAACTGAAAGCTCAGTTCAATAGTGTGATCTGTTATCTGAAACCCTGCCATATAAAATGTGTCTCCTATGCAGTATGCACTTTTGAGTCAATATTTTACATTGGTTGTCCTATCAAAACTACTCTCCATTTAGCCAGGCTTTGGACCAGCACACGGCGTACACTAACTTATAATGTCTTTTAATGCCACATTTGTGTTTTGAATGACTAATAGGGATGTAACAATAACGAAATTATCGTGATATCGTATATCAAAGTTCTCACAATAATATCGTGGACCATCACAATATATCGAATCACAAGTCTCTTCGCTTAAATTAAGAGTTATGGTGCAGCAATAGCTAAAAAAAGACGGAGTGAACTACATAAACCATGATCTTTCGTCCATTTCAGTGTAGAATACACGAAGAAATAACAGTTCTAACACTTTTAAGTTTTAGTTCTTTGAATTAAGTCTTGTCAAGGCATTTTTAAGAGGAAAAAGTAGCATATTAACAGTTTCAGCTGTTTAGCCTCCACAAAATATTGTAATAACTATCATATCGTGAGATGTATATCGTGAAAATATCATACAGAGAGATTTGGATATTGTTATATCCCTAATCGTGATCCTCCCCACCAAATCGTGAGCTTTCCCCCAATCGCAATAAATATCGTACCATGAGGTTCATACAGTGACGATATTGCATCGTGAGACTTTGATATCGTTACACCCCTAATGACTAACATTTGATCATTTCTGATATTTCTGTTGTATAATGTTTGCACAAACACAGATCAGACACACAATCAACTCATAATGTTATTTTCACTGACCACCAGTTCTCTTGGTGTGTGTTTCTTCTAAAATGCAAATCACTAGTCATCAGCAAATATTGGTTATTGGTCACATCAGCAAGACAAATATTGGATATTGGCTGAAGAAAAAAAAAAAAAATCCTTAATCCATCACTAATAATTTGTGTTCACTTTGTCTGTAAGCAAACATTATTTTATCCCTGATTATTACTAGGGCTGTAGTCGTGTAATAGTTGTATTTCTTTTTATAGTTACATCATATTTATGTGTTTTACTCTGAAAATACGCTGCAAATTAACTTTGTAAACAGCAAACATGAGTATTCAGACATTATGGTTAAGAGCTGGATTTTGCTCCCTGAAAAAATGCTTCTGCTTAATACCAGTTCTTACAAGAAAAAAGGTGGGGACAGCTGGTTTAGTCGCAGTTGTGTTGTGAGTGCAGCTTGGGTCAGATAGATAGAGATACATAATCGTTTTTAAAGCTATTACTGCAACCCCCATTTTAGTGTTTTTTTTTTTTTTTTTTTTTTCTAATCATTATCTACCTATGATACTCTGCTACTCCAACATCTACCCACAGATCTTGCCCACGCCCTGGTCCAGCCTGTCTTCTGGAGGTCTAATGTTTCATAAGGACAGAGCTCATGTAATATTGATGCTGAACAGAGCCGCGGACACTGGCAGCGAGCGCTCAGGAGCACGGATTGAGACAGACAGAAATGGACTGATCCCTGTGGAGATGTAAAAAGAGGAGCTGAGCACGGCCAGGGAGAGAAAGAGAAGTGGTGAGAGGAGCTTATCGTCACTGTAAAAAGTTCTCAGGTTAACACAAAATGGCGTCCAACTGGCACCACCTCGCCACGCACGCAGGAGGTAGAGTTGAAAGTAACAACAAAAGGGTACAAAGCTACAGTGATTGTGGATATATAATAGAAGGGTATAAAAAACGTACGAGTTGACACAGAGAACGACGATGTTCTTCCACAGGTTCCTCGTGCCCACCATTTTCACTATACACGTCCTCTTGGGTTTCTTCTGCAGGGCGTGCTGGAGTTCTGTGAATAAAACAAATAACAACAAATGTGTTATAACAAACAGGTGATATATGGCCTCTGTCTGCTAATTTAAAGTACACAATTAAAGGGTCAGTACACAGTTTTGAACCATGAGTGATGAACACGTTTCAGAGTAAATGTTAGGCACGTCCATTCTTTCACTTTGATGTTGTTCCATGACAGAGGCACTGTCTGATACTGTTACAGAGAGTGGTTTCCACATCGCACTGATTAGACGTTCAACATTTCTGATTGGATTCAGTTGTTGGTCCCTGGCAGTTGCTTCCTTATGGTTCTTATCTAACAAAATGCCCTATGAAATATATAGGCAATTTCAGTCATTCACATTTTTTTCAGCCACATTTTTTCCACAAATATAGTTCAGGCCTTTTAAATTGGCACAAGAACACTTTTATACTGTTATTATAAGTGATTGTACCTTAAACTACGTAAATATCACATTTAACATTTTATGTAAAATAACATTTTAAATATTTGTACCCCTTATTCCAATTTAGCAAATAATGTATTTCTCATTACTGATAAGCTTGTTACAGCTTACAGTCACAGCTAGGGATGTAACAATAACTGAAATATCGTGATATCGTATTGTCAAAATTCTCACAATATTGTCATGGACCATCACAATATATCAAATTACAAGTCTCAAGTCAATTAAGAGTTATGATGCAGCAATAGCAAAAAGCAAAAAAAAACAAAAACAAAGGGAACTACATAGACCATGATCCTTTGCTCCATTTCAATGTAGACTACAAGAAGAAATAACTGTTCTAAGCACTTTTAAATCTTAGTTCTTTGGATTAAGTCTTGTCAAGGCATTTAAAGAGGAAAAAGTAGCATATTAACAGTTTTGTTTGCCTCCACAAAATATCACAATAAATAATGTACTGTGAGATGTATATCATGAAAATATCGTACAGAGAGATTTGGATATTGTTACAGTCCTAATCATGAGTCTCCCCAACATATCGTGAGCTTTCCCACAATATCACAATAAATATCGTACTGTGAGGTTTATACCGTGACAATATCGTATCGTGAGACCTGGATATTGTTACACCACTAGTCACAACGTATCACAGAAATTAAACTCGAAAAGGGACAAAAATAATTTCCTTCAATATTGAAACAACTAGGAATAACTTGCATTTACAATTACACACAATGACAACAATTTTGAAGCTATATATCTGACTAAATGTGAACAGGAATCATTCACAAATTGAGGTAGTTTTTCCAGTGTACACCCAAATCAACCACTTAAGAGTCATGTGAATCCTGACGTTTTTGGTATCGACTAAGCATGAAATTATCCACCTTTATGTATTTCTAACCCGGTCAAAAAAACCCGTCACCTTCAACACAATACTGTTTTTTTCTCATGTGACTAACTCCCAGATGATTTGCTCAGCAGGTGTGACAGTGTTTTGAGGAAAGCTGAAACGCTCTGTGCGCACGGCTACACCTCTGAGTGCGCTTGTAAACATCAAACCGCATCGAATGTTGATGTGTTGCCGTGGAAACAAACCTAGCTCTGCCGCTCTCTCTCTCTCCATGCACGTTCATGTTGACTCAAGCATGTGACAGCATTCCTCCGCAATGCCTCAAGGTTATCTATGCTTGTATTGCTTTGCTTTGCCAGTGATCCTTTGGCTTGGGTACAAAAAGGCTATCCTCTGTCATGCCCATATAAATTACCGATGCTTATTCCACCGCTGCTAATATACACTCTCATTATCATTTCATTATGAATTGATAGCTTTCTGCCGATGTCATCAACATTACTTCAGCGGGAGTGAAGTTATCTGGAGACACTGCTCTGTCTAAAGCTTTGTTACTCAAGTTGGACTTTAAATTACCTATATTCCACTATGTTTTATCTGTGTTTTAATGTTGTTTCTTCGAGTTGTGTTTTGTTTCATTCACACTCGCGCTGTGTTCAAACTAAAAACACTCTGATCTACCCTGTGATATCATGTGATAATACAGGAAGTGCTCTACACACCTTCACTCGAATTATTTGGATGATTTCAGCTCTGAAATTGCCAATCTTCAGTGAATTTATGGTAAAAAGTAGCTGTTAACTTGAAAACTAAAACTACATGACATCACAAGGTACAGAGCTACTGTTCTATCATGTCATAAAACTCCTAAGAATGCATTTTGTGTCATACAGGGCCTTTAATCACTTTATTTTAACTCAATATGTATGTTGGAGCTACAAAAGGTGAGCTGGATTTGTGCAGTTGATCATGTTTTCAGTCCTTCCGTAATGATAGGGGTTGGAACAGTTTCTAAAAGAGAATGAATTAGTATCAATGAACTTTTCTCATCAACAGCATCAGCAAGTTGTGGCTGGAAAAAGGCAATTTTACAATGAGTGGGCTCCTGGTAAATCTCCAGAATTGGCAGAGTTAATTTTGTTATTTTAAACCAAGGGATAAAAAGTGTATGTGGAAACAAATGGAGTGGGTGAGAGGATTTTCCAATATAAGGAAGTAGTGTTTTGGCTTTAAACAGTAGAGACATGGCAAGAGTTACAACTGCTTATTGCTTATTGCTTAGTGAGACAGTTTTTACAGTAAACACTCTGCTTGAAAGTACTGCATACTGTTATGTCCTTGGGCAATACACTTCACTTCACCCCTTTTTGTCTAGACGTTTATAAAGAGGGAAATATTGTAAACTGAACCATTAATATTAATATATGAGGCTGGAAAACTAGACAGAAACTTGATAGCTTAAGACAGCGCCAGAAAGTGCAGTTGGTTGGTTTTATTTAGCAAAATAAAACGTAAAAAAAGATGCAAAAGACTGTGTAGATGAAGAATTATTTGAGGATTGCAGATGAGTTTTGTTTCTTAACTTAATTTGGAGAATATATTGCTTATTTTATATTATTAATTATTTAAAACATAATTACAAATCATTACTGATATGACTTGGCAATTTAGATTACTGTAGATAAACTATATAGCCCCCAAGGGATATTTTTTCTTGAGCCAAAACAGCCAGGTTAAAAAGTGTTATGTGTAAGTTATGTGAGCAACTTGACACTTATTTAAAATGTAATGTTCTTGATGTATTTTTATATTATTTATATTATTTTATTGTCTAGCACTATGTTGCAGTTTTTATGTGGCAAGACAAATATGTACCTTGGCAGTAAAAAAATCAAAAAAAAAAAAAAATCTTGTGGTTGTCAAATTTTTCAGCACCACCTATGAAAAAAATTGGTAATCTGAGTACCACCAAAAATCTATACCTGGACAATATCAGATCTAAATGATGGCTAAAATGTTAAAAACTTTGACTGAAACAAATGCAACAAAAAAATTGATAAAGTAAACAAATACTCAAACTGCAGTGGGCCCCATCTACCACTAGAGGCAGCCTGCATACCACAACTTGTACACTTATGATTATGATTTTGTAATAGTGTTGTCACAATACTGAAATTTCAAAGTCTGTTTCAAAGGAATAGACTTAGTGCTCAGTACTGATTCTGATACCACAATGATAATAAAAAAACACTCTTTATTTAGACAATGGAATGGATTTTCAGCATTAAATAATTGTACTTTCTTTTATATTAACAAGAGGCATTATATTTTTGTAATCTCTCAGTGGTCCAAGTAGGTTTCATAGTGGTCCACGGGCACACACCAGTCTATGTGCTCTTAAACTTGTTCTAATACAGCTCAAGATCAAGATCATTCTAAAGCTATTCAGGAAAGGTTCATGTCTGTCCTGTGAATGTGGCTTTTTTAGTACTGATATATATATTTAGTATTGATTTCAAGTTTCAGAACTAGTTTTTGTTTCAATATTGACAATCCTCCTTTGTAAACAGAAAGACCGTGACCGGTGTGGCCTAATCTTATTCAAGTACCATCCTGTTTTCTTTTGTTTTCCTTCCTCCTTACAGTGACAGGTGTGAGCTAACCGTCCATTAGCCTGAGACCGGGGTCCATCTGCCGCGGGCTCCAGCGTACCTCTCAGACCCACCCACGGGGGCTGTAACATCATTAATTAGACTCCTAAAGTGTTGTAATGTGATGCTCAGCACCCACTCCGACGTCTAGAGTGGCCTGTTACCATAGAAACCAGACAGAATATGGCTATAACCTTGTAAGAGCACCCTTTTTTGTGGAACGAGGCAGCTGGGGACGATTTAATATGAGGAGGAGAAGTGTATATGTACACTTAAAAAAACTGTAAACAAAAATGTTCTAAATTCTGGAACTGAGGCAGAAGTGAAGGGGAACATGATGGATTTTCAATTTAGAAACCTGGATTAATCCCAGAATATCACAAAATATTAAAAAATCAAGGTGGTTTTGGTAAATTATAAACACTCAGGTACATGCATATATAGTTGTATTTTCCATTATTTACTTATTTAATAGGAGCAATAGTAATTAGTAAGTGAAAACACTGATAAAAGGTAAAATCCTGACTTTTAGGGTTTACTGGAAAAATTTTTACAGAAATGTTGACACCATTTTATCTACAGGAATATTACATACTTTATCACAAACTATACTTTTTGTGACACTAAATAAACAAGGTAAAATGATGCTTTTTTTCTCCTAATGTTGTAGAAATCTAGCAATCTAAGTGTTATCCTTACACAAAAGTATCTGAATGATGCTTATTGGCATTTAAAACCATTTGTCCTTGATTTGAAAATGTACTACTGCAGAGTTGCATAGTATATCACAATATTCTTTAGTCCAGTAATGTTTAACACAGAAAATGATTGTTCAAATGTATATATTTGTTGTAATACAGTGAGTTCCTGGGTTTATTTCTATTTACTATTTACCCATTGGCAGGTTGATGGCAAGGAGGGTCAAGTCACTAACAGAAATGAACAGGTTAAGCATTTGTGACTTTACCTTTTGGATATTTCATTGCACTGTATAATTTAATCTGGGAGCAGGACATCAACATATTGTAGAATCTGAAAACAACCAATAATCTGCTTCATTTTGCCTCCAGATGCCGCCATTCCGGTCTTCTTAAACATCAAGGTGGCATGACATTTTAAAGGATCTCTAGGTACCTGTGAGGATGTTGTCCGCGTCCAGCTCCATGTTGACTCGGTTCTTCTTGGCGATATGTCCCATGATCCATTTGGAGCGGCCATATTGTTGTGTGGCAAGTAGCCAGCGCAGTGACTCAGGGAAGATCCTGGAAAAGGCAGGGCACAGGTTAGTATCATGGAAGCTATTATTTGGACAGCATTGGGCCACTGTTGACACATTTGATTTCATAAAGTTAAACAAATACGGACATAAATGCTTAGTAGGCCTTGTTAATCCAGTTCTTGCCATCACATTATGCAGCAATAGACAGCTAAATGTTTTATAGGATACACGTCTATACATGTTGTCAATACAGTCTGTTTTAGTACAGACAAAAATAACCAGGTACTTTTACCTCAGTTATCGTAGTTGGTAAAAGTTTTCAAGGGTGTATTATGCTTTAAAAATATATTTACAAAAAGTGCACAACAGCATGTATAATAGCAGACCGATCTGCTGTTATATCATTGATACTTTGAGGTGACATCACGCTGGGGGTGTTCTACATGTATCTCTAAAGGTGGAAAGTTTAGGAGTTACCAGTGTGACACAATGCACACATTAGTAAACACTGTCAAAAAGTTTTAAGATTGTCTGAAATCTCAAGAAAAAATACAAAAAGGATTTAAACTACACATTCAGGAGCCTGTGATCAATACAAGAGTTTATGTTCCTGTTTAGGTGTTTCATTTCAACAAAAATGAGTAACAGATCTTCAGACAGAGCAGTGCCTACAATTAGCATCACACCCCCAGGGAATATCGATAACATCAGCTGCAAAGTTTATGAATAGGTTCGATGTAAAATTATAATAAATGTCATGACAATTGACAACTCAAAACACAACATTCCCTTTTTGAATGGTCAAATGTCCTACAAATGACCCATGAATAACCAACACCACAGTTGACATATTTCAGAACAAACATAATTTATGTTAGTGATACTTTGCAGACATGTCATGCTGGGGGTGTTCTACGTGTATGTTCAGTTCAGTTCAGAGACACAATGCACACATTCGCAAGAACTGCCAAAAAACGTTTTAAGATGGAAGTTTTAAGAAGTCTGAAAAAAATTAATAAATAATAAACAAAGATATATATATAATACAAAATTGCTTGTTAATACGAGCGTTCATGGTCTTGTTTAGGAGTTTCAGTTGAGTATTGACATTAATGTTATTTGTGAGAGACGTGTTCCTTGTTCCTGTTGGATTTTGTTTGAGCCTATTACAAAGTGCCACAATGAACCTCACCTGTCAGCGGTCATGTCATGCTAATCATAACATTTTCATCTCAGAGTATCCGGTTACCTTCCAACAAAAACAGCTATCATCGCTAGTGCGCTTATCACCTTACAGTGCTATGCCCTTAAGTTGTTTCTACAAATCAGCAAACTCCGACTACATGCAGTGCTTTCCCAGCCCCATCAGCTGTATGTGTGTAAACTGAAGTCAGCTGGTTTATCAGCGCATAAACCACACTGTGCCTACATGCAGCGAAGCCTATGCAAAAAAAAAAACAAGGCCAATACTTCCTTGAAACATGCAGTATTATCCATTAGTCACACGTGCTTTGAGCTCTTTGTATAATACAGAACGCTATGGTGCAAGAACAACTATCGCCTTGACAGACGCTCTATGCAGTGTTTGTCAGGCTTGTTTCAGTTTCAGCAAATTAAAGCCAGAGGGGAAGAACAGCTTCATAAGTCATCTAAGTTCAGACATGACATGAACTTTGTGGAGAAAATTTGCCTTTAAAAGTCCTATATTACATATGCTCTTGTGAGCTTTTAGTAATGTTAGAATGTTGTTTTCACATTGTTTTGTTCACACATTCTTGAGTAACCCTGCATTATTAGTCTGTTTACATCTACAGTTACCTTTAGCCAGGGCTAAAAATGTCCAAGTGATTTGACTGAAGGTGGATGGAGTTTAAAAATACAATGGAGCATTTCCTGTATTACCACATGACATCACAAGGTGGAAGAGAGTGGTTTGTTTGAGTGAAAAACTCATTGTAAATATGTAGGATCTGTGTATTAAACATATGAATGTGAATAAAACAAAACACAACTTGGAGTATGTTTTTGATGAGGAAATAACATCATAACATAAATAGGAAAATAGTCTAACATGGAGCCTTTAACATAAATACATCTTATAAATAAATGTTCTCGAACTACTATTTTACAATTCTGGTTTCTGGTAAATGTTTGGCAAATATTATTTTTCTCAAATTTACTGTCAGCACAAATTGCTGCATCCCCTAGTTATTTAAATGGTAACTTGAGTACGGCTTTGATTGTTGTTGAACATGTGGCTTTCATCAGGACACAAAGTGATGAGGTCATACTCCCATATGGGGTGCATTATTAGTAGAGATCAACAGATACAGATTTTTAGAATCCAGAATAAACTGATGGAAACAGATATTTTCCTGCTGAAATGTATTTTGATAATTTCCCCTGAAATAAAGGATCTGAAATGACTACAAACTCAATTACTTTCTACAAAAGACCAGTATAATGCAGGGGGAAAAAAAGCAGCTTCACATTTTGTGCAGTGTTTGCTATGTGCAAAATAAACATTGTCTTCTGTTTAATCAGGTTGTCAACCCAAAAAAATACTATATCCGGATTGCAAAAAAATGCAAATATGTCTAATTATAATTTGTCAGTTTATCAGTATAATCGCAAAATAAGTATAATTTTGACCTGCCTCCCTTTATAATTATTCCATATTTTTGGCCTATAGAATTACGGGATATAATCTGAAACATGAAAGGGTGACTAAAAGGCAGTCCTATCTTAAATCTGTCAATGAATCAATAGTTGAATAGAATTTTTTGACAGTTTCTTAATATAATGGTGTCAAATGTCATTTACTTGTCTACAGATTTAAATGTCAAAATGAGTTGTGTGTCGGTGTTACTTTCTCACCAAATGAACCATATATATATATATATATAAACCATATATAACGATATATATTGTAGTACATTATAGTGCCACATTTTGTGCAGTGTTCTTTCCGCACTTAATGTTCAAATAAAGCATTGTGTCTATTGATTTTACGGTCTTTTAACTTGTCTTCACTTGTGTACCAATGTACCAGTTAAAATGAGGTATGAGCTGTACAGAGCCTCTTTCTCACCAGATGTAGGAGAGCATGAGGAGCAGGGGGCAGATTATCACTGCTTGCAGGACCTGCCAGTCTCCACAAAGGTACGCCACCCCAGGCAACAGCAGCTGACCGCCCAGCACCACGAAGTTAGCCACCATGGTCATGGAGAAGCGCCAGCCGGGTAGGCACAGCTCGATCCCTGCAACACAAAAGGAAATGACAATGTGACCGTTAACATCTATGCTTTTGTTCTGAAAGAAGGGTCACAAGATCTTGCACACGAGGAAGAGGGTCTTATGATTTTGGATTGGTCAAAAAGGGTTAAGTGTTGGTGAGTTACATCCATAGACTGTATAAAGAAGTGGACTAAAGGAGTATGACGTCACCCATAGCACTTGGCTCCAGTCAAACGAAGCTCATGATGCTTGTGGTTACAGGAGCGAATTTGAAGCCAGGTCCATATTAGGAATAGGAATTTATTCACAAAACAGTGAAATAAAAACACCAGGATTATGAAGAGCTGGTTAATACACTTTAAAACCAAAATTAAAACAAATACATTAAAAAAATTTGACGAACATATTGAAAACTGTATTAGAAATTATGTTAAATCTTGTCTCGGCTTGTTCTTGTGTTTCATCCCTTCTTGTTGAAATTGTGTCTCATCCCAGCCCTTTTAGTAGCATTTGGTCATTGTTGACACATTTGATTTCATAAAGTAAAACAAATATGTACATGAATGCCCAGTAAACCTTGTTAATCCGGGTCTGGCCACCATATTGTGCAGCAATAGAGGGCTAAATAATATTGAGATTTATTCTTGGTAATAATAACCTTTCACCAATCTGTTGTTAACATACATCATCAGTATTCCAATGTGTAGAGTGAAAGTAAAAAAAAATCCTGCTTAATCATACAAATACATTCATTAGAGGTCCTATATTATGCAAAATGTGCACAATCATTTTAAGTCATGCTATAATGCTGTTACTTCCTCAAAAAGGTACCTAGGGTTGTATTTTATTTCAGTCACACATTTCAGTAACACTTTATTATTACTCTGTTTACATCTCCAAAGCTTAAAATGCTCTGTTCCACCTTGTGATGTCATGAAGTGGTAGTTTTTAAGTTAAAAGGTACATTTTGCTTTTAGTTCAGTAGAGATTGTCAATGTCATGGCTGAATGTGAAGGGGTACGGAGTTTAAAAACACAGTGGAGCACTTCCTGTATTATCACATGACATCACAAGGTGGAACAGAGTGTTTTTAGTTTGAGAAAATAACTCAGTCTAAATATGCAGGGTTTATTTGTTAAACATAAATGAAACAAAACACAACTAAAGCTATGTTTGTGATGGAGAAACAACAGATGAGAAAATTACATAATATGAGCCCTTAAACAACATTTATGACATACCATGCCTTCTAGATGAAAATGAGATCGAATTTCATTTATGGGTTTGCTTGAAAAAAAAAAATTGGATTAGGACTGTTGCTATAGCAGTGGACAATTCAAAACACAACATTTCGTCTTTGAACGGTCAACATATTTCAGAACAAAAGTCTTATAACAACATTTCCCACTGTGACAGCCTGGGAATACCAACTTGCAAATGTTTAGAAATTGTTATATTTGTAAATGCTCTCAGATTTATGAGATGCGAGGCAGTTGCTAACAGTCTGGCTGGAAAATGGTAAACAAACTGGATGCAAAATGTTGATTTGGTTAAACCACAGTGAATACTCAAGTGACAACACAAAAATGTCTATTTGCTCCAACTCTCGTTCAGTGGTCTTGAAGCTTTTCACACCACCAGAAAATGTACAGCTTTCTGAGTACCAGCAAACTAAAACTAGAACAAGTCTATCAGGCTTAAAACTGGTCTAAAAATACTTCTACGTGATGAACAAAAACACAGAACCCCTTTAGTTTAAAATGCCCTGTTCCACCTTGTGATGTCATGTAGTGACAGTTTTTACTAGGGGTGTAACGATATCTAAGTCTCAAGATACGATATCGTCAAGGTATGAACCTCACTGTACGATATTTATAGTGATATCCTGGGAAAGCTCACAATATGGTGGGGAGGCTCACGATTAGGGGAGTAAGAATATCTCTCTGTACAATGTTTTCACGATATACATCTCATATTTATTGAAATATTTTGTGGAGGCAAACAAAAGTTAATATGCTACTTTTTTCTCTTAAAATGCCTTGACAAGACTTAATAGTGCTTAGAACTGTTATTTCTTCTTGTAGTAGACACTGAAATGGAGCAAAGGATCATGATCTATGTAGTTACTTCTGTTTTTTTTTTTTTTTGTATCTACTGCTGCGCCACAACTCTTAATTTAAGCAAAGAGACCAGTAATTCAATATAATGAGATGGTCCACGATATTATTGTGGGATCTTTGATGATACGATATCATGATATTTCGGTTATTGTTACATCCCTAGTTTTTACAGCTACCTTTTGTTTAGTAGAGATTGATAAGACCAGGGCTGAAATTATCCAAACAATTCTAGAAAGTGTATGGAGCACTTACTGTATTACCATATGACATCACAAGGTGGAACAGTGTTTTTAGTTTGAGAAAAGAACTACTAGGGTTTGTGTGTTAAACATGTGTGAAGGAAACAAAACACAACTCCAGGAATGTTTTTGATGAGGAAATAATATTAAATTAGAAAATTGCGTATAATAAAATCAAGGAGGATAAACATTTTGCAGGCCAATGGCAATAGGTCAGCTCTTGTATAGTACTTAGTCAGACAGTGGATGTGCAGAGGCTGTGGGCGGCTGTGGGGAACTATAAAAGACCTCCGTTGTGCTCATTTCTTGTCTTTTCGAATGGCACCAATTCATTCACTCTGCGATTAGCATGCACGCCACACACACAGCAAATAGCTACCCTTCACTAGCAATAAGAAAACCCAATGTCCTGCTCTGGTAAACCTTTTTAGTTCACATCTTTGTTCACTTTGGCTCCGAAGGAATGTCTCCAGCCAGGGCTTTCAAGGTGACAAGGGGCCAGGCACAATACAGTGGCACTTTTGCTCCGTTCGACTGGAGGAAAGGGGCAGAATTTCAATTAGCGGTGGCCCCCTTGTGAGGACATGAATAATGCTTTCTGTTCTCACTCACTATCACAGCTGGAATGACAAAGGCAATGAAAGCACAGTGTATGAACCAGCTCACCCCGGGAGATGGAGGGAGAGGGGGTGAGGGGGGAATGAGAGAGGGAGGGGGGTGAGAGACAAAGAGAGAGAGCGGGAACCACAGAAAGAGAGGAGCAGGGACGGTTCAGTGGACTCAAACAGCATGGCATTGGAATTCCTTGGTTATGGAGAATGTGTCATGCGCACAGAACAGGCACTAAAATGAGCAGAAAGAACAAACTGCAGGGAGATACAGGGGAACCGTTTTACTCTATGTGGTCTGAATATAAAATAAGTTCACTTTCGCTGATCTACTAGCTCTATTTGTAACGGGACAGCACACATTAATGAATGTTTAAAATGTAAATATGATGATGTTAAACAGTCAGCAACAATCACACAAAAGCAAATATAATACCATTATACCATTATAACTTAATTTCATTTGAAGTGATATATTGTAGGGATGTAACAATAACCGAAATATCCAACCATCACAATATGTATGGAATTACAAGTCTCTTTGATTAAATTAAGAGCTATGGTGCAGCAGTAGCTAAAAAAAGACAGACGGAACTACATAGACCATGATCCTTTGCTCCATTTCAGTGTAGACTACATGAAGAAATAACAGTTCTAAGCACTTTTAAGTCTTAGTTCTTTGGATTAAGTCTTGTCAAGGCATTTTAAGAGGAAAAAGTAGTGTATTCACAGTTTTGTTAGCTTCCACAAAATATCACAATAAATATCGTATCGTGAGAGGTATATCGTGAAAATATTGTACAGAGAGATTTGAATATTGTTACATCCCTAATCGTGCGCTTTCCCATGATATCACAATAAATATTGCATCGTATTGTCAGACTTGGATATCGTTACACCCCTAATATACTGTGTTGAAGTGTGGGGGAACACTTACCAATGCACACTTCATCCATTGATTATATTACAGAAACAAGCTTTGTGAATTATCCATGAAGTTGGATGGTTTTTAGACACACCCATATTTTTTTTTTCCAATTTAATCCAAGCTCCTAAACATTCCTGACCTTGTAAAATATTATACACAGGTACTTGTATTAAGAACATGTAAAAATTTACTACCAAGTCATCTACAAAGCTTGTTCAAAATGAAAGAGAGAACTTATAATTTTAGAGCGTATGGAAATTTCAAATTGCTCAATATTCGAACTACTCATAAAAGTTTCTGTGTGTCTGTATGTGGTGTAAATCTCTGGAACAGTCTGGATACACATCTCAAGAAATGCCAAAACGTAAATTCAAGTTGTTATAAAAACATATGGTCTGGTCACAGTATATAGAGAAATGGTCATAATATTAGAAAAACTATTGGTTGTTGGTAGCCTTATGTTATTCTACCAAGCTATAACAGTTACTCATTTTCCACTCTTGTAAATAATTCATATAGTTTAATACAAAATGTCTGAAAAATCCAAAAGATAGTTCATTGTTTAAGATTAAAAGAGTGGGGTGGGATTAAATAAGCTTTCTTCTTCCCACTCCTTTTCATTTTTTGTTGCTGTGGTTATTTCTATTATGATTTCACAAATGTTATATGTTCCATTGTTAAAGAATGTAAAGCTCTCTCTCTTAAAAAAAAAGTGACACTTAAAGGTAACCAACAACTCCTCAATATAAAAAAAGTATTTTGTTAAACATGGTGACATATTTGACTGTCAAACAAACACTGTTTTAAAGTGTTAGAAAATGGTGCCAGTGTTGAGAGCTGTTGTATATGTGGTGTATTTCACGTCTGACCTGCTACCTGCAAAAACACTTTTCCTAAACATCTATAATGCTCATGAAAGTATTACTAACTATATTGACCTGTAAATTAGTCTGGTAGTATCACCTTTGTTTTCTTTGAGAGAGAAGGATGATACTGCAATTTCAAATTCGATTTTGATACCGATAAAATGATAATAACCAACATTTGTCATTTTCAACACAGAATAATCATACTTCATTTATGTTAGTATGTGACTGACTAAAACTAACTCGAAAACTGTTTACGTAT